CTCTCTCTCTCTCTCTGTTTCCCTTTCACTCAAGAAAAAACTCAAAGGTGCAGATCAGTCGTGTCCGCGTGGAAGATTCTGGCAACTACACTTGCGTGGCGGAAAACTCTCTAGGACAAGAAAACGCCACGAGTATAATCAGCGTGCAGATCTGTGAGCAACAACACATTACTACCTGTCTGTCTGTGCGATCGGATGATCACAAACTGTTGCACAAGCGTTTTGCAGGCTGTGGAAATCTGCTTGTCTCACAGTAGCAAAACAGAAATAAGGGAAACTGAATATTTACTTTAATTACTTGCAAATATATTTAACAGTTTTGAATTTAAAAAGTGTGTTGCTGCTTCTTTATGCTCACAAAACCAGTAGTTGTGAAGGAAAACGCTGTCAGTTCATTGAAGCATTGAAGCCCAAAAGGTGGATAAATTAGCTGCACTGTGGCGCCTTTTAGCAACTTTTTGTTATATTAAAGAAAAACATTATGCTTTTTCTTCTTCTTCTTCTTCTTTTTTTGTCTGCTTTCTGTCAATCTGCCCTCCTCACAGTGACCACCACTCCCGGTCCGGGTGTGAGTCATGCAAGACGCTGCAATGACTCGGAGAAGTCGTACTGCGTCAACGGAGGAGACTGTTACTTCATACATGGTATTAACCAGCTGTCCTGCAAGTAAGTCCGTCCCTCGCTCGGCGTCCATCAGCTCAGTCGTCACTGTGCAGTCGCTCCCCCTGTCTTCTCCACCCGCTCTGTCCTTCTCTATCTCTTGTCTCCGTCGGTCTGTGATCTCAGTGTTTGCTGGTCACTCGTCTTCTGTTTCCTGGTTGTATCTCCTCCACACCTGCAGCCCGACCGCCCACCCACGACCACCGCGTCGCCGGGGCTTTTCAGTTTCCACCGAAGCCACAGAGCAGATGGTTTTAACAGATCTTTAACCGCTCGTTCACAATTTGTTGTTTGCTGCTGCTCCTTTAACATCAGGTCGTTTAAGAGTGAGTGAGGTGGGACAAAATGCAAAAGGTGTAAAGAAAGAACATCTCGACTGCCGAGTAAATGTCTTTATATGCTTTTATTTTTTTTAAATTGGCAATAAATATATTTAGTCCAAACCAAGTGAAACCAAGGGAAAACAGTAGCTACTTGTGTTTTCTGTTTTTAGTATCCAGGGTGAAGATGTGATGGAAGTTTACAGATTTATACATGTATGTGTGCATTTTGTGTGCACTTGTCCAATATTGCAGATTCAGAATCAATGTCATGATGAGAAATACTTCAGGGTTTCGTCTTAAAAAGCTCCTGAGATGTTGTCATTCAAACACAGCCTTAAATCTGCGTAAAAACGTCCTGGAAACAAATTTTCAAAATCTTGGAAAGTGTTTTAAATATTCATAGTTTAGGATTTTAAAAAAAAGTTTCAAGCAAATCAGAGAGGTTTGAGCAGAAAGTTTCTGATGATTTTAGACGGAGTAACCGAATATCAAATATAATGGTTGATTCTGCTTTAGTTGTATCTGTGCTGAAATGTTACCGAGCTCAGGGTTGCTCAGAAGAACAACACTGGCATGAGAAGTGGAACAGGACGTCCCGTTGACAGAGTATATTAGCTGCTGTCTCTGTTGTCGGTCACTCTGTTGGCATGTAACCATGAAACACTTTGCAAGCTGAGGGCACTCAAAAGCAAAGAGGACAGACTGATTTCAATACTTAAAAGATGTCCAGTGAGTTGAACTCCTCTGATATTAGCTCCCTCCCACAGTCCAAACATACGTATGGTCGCTTAATTGATGATTCTAAATTGCTTCTTGTTGCGAGTCTGAGTTTGCACTGTTGTTTGTCTTCTCTTTGCGGCGATCCGTTCAGGCTGTACTTGTCCAATGTCAGCCGGAATAAGCTAAAGCCTCCCATGACCCTCTGTAGGATAAGGCGGGTATCGCTAATGCATAGATGGATGAACTCCGATAAGACGAGTTTATGTTGTGCTATTTATTACGGCCGATTTCTGCGAGATATGCCCAGAATAAGAGCATTAAATAGCCTTTGCATGGCATAAAAGATTTTACCCAGTGTGCTACCTGCAGCCTGCTGTCACCGATGTCACAGAACCACATTCTTGTTTAGAGCAAATTGTTGAAAAGTATATTATCTAGTGTTTTTTTCTGAAATGACATCCGGCAAAATGCTGAAAGCCATCGTCTGCTGTCAGATTAGCAGACAACTTTTGTTTTACTCATGCTTAAACAGGATTGACGGTGGTGCTGAAGCTAATCGGCCATGTGTTTTGTAGTTTTCTGGTGACGACCTCTAAGACGACTAACAAGATTTGAGAGTTCTTTATAGATGAAGCTGCCAACTACACATAATCCCAACAATGCACACGTTTCTTTATGTTTCATGTTTTTTTTTTTTGTGGCAAACACTTAAGTTTTGGACGTCGGGATCCCGCACTAAGATATAAACTCGTCACACACACACACAGAGAAGCAGGTGTATGGGGAGGAGGTGAGTAATATATACATGGCTCAGACCTGACAAACATTTAAATATATCTTCCTCTATTTGCGTCACCACGTCTCGTGTCGTCCCTGCAGGTAAGAGACGAGACAAACTGCCAATCCAGGCTGGATCTGTAGATGTAGTAGCCGGGATGTCGTAACTTTCTCTGCTCTGACGCAGACCGGGAGTGGCTAGAACCGCTACTGGTCCAGGTCTTCTTTGTGTTCATTGGAAACAAACTGTAAACATAAAAGTGCATCACTTCCTGCGAGTGGGAGGATTTTTTTTTTTTTTTTCCCACGAAACAGCTACCAGACTGGTAGGTGTTCAGAACAGCAAGTGCAAAAAAAAAAAATTTCATGAAGTGAATATTAGATGAATCACTGCTGTTATATCAACTTATTACAGAGACAGACAGACATTTATTTATACGAACATGGCGCAAGTCGCAGCTCTAGCAATTAAAATAATAAACCAAAATGCGTCAGTTCGTCGTAATTAATCGCTGGTTTTGGAAAAAATAAGGCAATATTTTTATGCATATTAGCAAATGGTGCAGCAGTAAAGCCCTGGACACAAACACCATGAGCATTAGATGTAGGATCATATTAGCGATCATCTTGTGCCCTTCTTTGCTTCGTTAAACATGTGTCTGAGCTGTAGTTGAAGTGTGGATTTGAATGAACTTCATTTATCTTTCTGCTTTGGTGGTTTGCTTTTATGGATTCCATCAAATTAAAATGTCACTTAAAATTAAAATCCTAGCTTTAGCAAAAGTACAAATTCCTTTAGCGTTGTGTGTCTTCACATTTTTCTGCTGCAACTCAGCTGCTTTGTTTTTTTCTTTTGGGCAAAATTACAAGATAAAGAAAAAGTTTAGCGACAAAATCGTGTTACAGATTTTGTGTTTGGGTAAAGAAAATGTTTAATTTGGAAAAAACTGAAGTTGCAGCAATGTAAACTATAATTCATTTAACTTAAACCAGTGGCATTAGTATGACTTGTTGGCTAAATTTGGATAAACTTAATTCAATTGCATGTCACTAGTTGAAGCAATTTTTCGTTCCGCTGCACATTAACCGGCAGCGTAAACCAACGTCTGTGTTTTCGACTACGATCTGCATTTGCAACCAAAGCTTTGTACCGACCTAAGCTATAAAAAAAAGCCCCTTTGTTTTCCACTTAGCGAAATGTATATTCTCTAAACTGTAATCTTTCAGATCCCCCTTGCCGTACACACTGGGTCATTCTGTAGATGTGCAGCAAACACGTTTCCCGACAGTGTGGATAACAGATGGCGTGTAAAGTCATGCATGATCAAAAGCTTTGTTGTTCTGCTTCCTGTACAATAGGATGTATCTGCTAGAATCCCTTCCTTAGATCCTTAGGTGTCTGTTTCACATCTGCACTCTTTGTTTCTTCATTTACATCTCTCTCTTCAGTATTTCTATCCCTTGTTTCCCCTCCACTCTCTCTCTCTCTCTCTCTCTCTCTCTGCCTCTCATCTGATATACCTTCCGGTCATTGCTGAAGGATAAATCAGATTTTTTTTTTTATTCCATGGTGCTGACAAGCAGAAAACTTTGTTTGAGAGGGTTCATATAGTCATCACGAGCAGCTTGTGTAGCAGTTTAGGGGTGCAAAATGTGCAGGATTGTTCAACCTTGTGTGCATGATTGTGCTACATGCAACACGCTGCATATTAAAGGAAGGTACAGGCAGCGAGCGACGGACTAGCCAGCAGTTTCCAGAGAGTTACTGTAGCTTCTTAGCTTTGTCATCCTTTGTTGGCCTGTCTGTTAGGGCCAGCGGATAACAGGATGTAAATAAGACTGCTGTCTGTAGACTGTCTGCGATGCTTGTTCACTTGAGAGATATGTAGACCTCCACTCTCTCCCTCGTTCTGTGTCGGAACGGCTGCAAATCAGTCCAGCGCATGGCACCGGCAGGCAGCAAAGAAAATGTAAATATCTGAGGAATTTGAGGTGGTGTTTGCAAGCTCCTTTGTGCAGACCATAGAAACCTGTAATCTCTTCTTCCCTGAAGGGGAAAGTAATGCTGTACTGCAAAATGGAGTCTGTAGGTTAAAGTGGAGGACGGCACATACAGAAAGGCGTCCTGGATAAAGTAGAGTGTGGAGGTTAAAGTGGAGACGAGCACATACAAACATTCCCTCTGGCAGGCTGTGGCCAGGTTAACGCTGAGTGTGTTTTGCTTACTCAATGCTTCTTTGAGCCTCCAGTAGGATGTCTGTGTGGAGCTGCAGGTAGAAGAACTTTGTTGGGAGGAAAACGTGATCCTGGCTATAGGTTCAAAATGCCAAATCCCCCTTTGTGAATCAATAAAGTTCATTTAATGTAATCTAATCTACAAATGCCATGACTTTAGATCAGTATTGATGCCTCGACATAATGTCCACGACTGTCTGTTTTTTTTTTTCCTGTTAAATTTGATGAGCCTTTGTATAATGAATATAACAAAATGAATCACAGACTTTGCTTTCATTCAAATGGCTGGAACAAAAGGTGTGCAAGCTTTTTTTTATTTTTTCTCCCCCTCTCCCTGAAAGAACAGCAGAGTTCGGGGGAGGAAAGAAAAAAAAAAAGGGAGAGCAAGCACAGGCAGATAAAGAAAGGGTGAGGAGAGGAGGGGGAAATGAGAAGCACGGGGAGACAAGAAAGAGAAAAGAAATGATATACAGTAAAAGCTTTGCCGGCATAGGGCTGCTTCTGCACCGAGTGTCTCCCACCTCTCTCTCTATCTCTGCTCTATTTATATCTCTCTGGGAAATTGCTGAGTGGGCTCTACTGAGGGTTTTTGCTGTAATTGATTCAAAATGCAAGTTGTCTCTTTAGTGGTGAGAAAGAGGAGAAAAGGATACACAGTCAGTTCTATGGACAGTATGTGCACGAGGGCAACACGGAGGTCCTTGCATTTTAAACTGGATGAATTTGTTGACCTGATGCTAAATTACTGTAATAAATAGCGTGCGGTTATTACCAGGGCTGCGTGAAGCTGCTGGGGAGCTTCTGTTATCCTGTAATGAGTGTAATGGAGCCACACCCATGATATCATAAAACTGTGGTCACTTGTTGTGATTCATCTACGGCGTAATGTGCACTGCAGTCGGATCAGGTTTTCTATAACATGCCTATTTTCCATTTGACTGCAGTAAAAGCTGATCTACTATCAATTACCCGCAATAAAAAGATTAAATCAATTATTCCCGGCTGGGTAAAAGCCGTGACACCCATTTGAACACACAGTCCAAGACAGTTCAGATTTTGAAGCACACTCTTAAGAAGATTCTTTTTTTTTTTTTTGTCAAGGATGCATTTGAAATGAGATCTGTAGTGTTTCATTGAAAGAATGAGGATTAATAGAAGAAAAAAAAGAAGAAGCCAGTATTAATGAAACCAGAGACACCAGTATTGTGGACTCTGTGTGTACAAATTTTGGAGTTGCTGCGATGCGGTGAGGAGCCTACTTGTTAGTTTCAGTGTTGTGAGTTTGATGGCTGATGCCAGAATATGAATCATATTCAGCCCGTGGTATCGCTGACAGCTCGCCACCCATCCAGAAACACAACACCACATTCTGCAGCTGCATGTAAACTGTTGCTGTTATTTATGCCCAAGAAATACCAAAACCTATTCCAGCCATTTTCATGCTCGCACACTGTGGAGGGCTGCCTCTCTCTCTGTCTCTATATGTGTGTGTGTATGCACTGCTGTTATTTTTATTTTTGAAAAAACAGTTTTTAAGAGTTTTACCATTTTTGCAGGTGCTCATCCTTTAAGGGTTTATTTATTTATGGAGTTCACACAAACATGGTATTATGCAGAGCGAGGACATTGCATTGGATGAGGGGATGCGTGGCTGGGCTCTCCTGAACGTCTGCATTGCTGAAACAGGGTGCGCTGCCTCTTTTAGCTGCTGTAGGGACAAACCTGAAGAGAATTAATCAATTCAATACAGTTTTATTTATGTAGAGCCAATTTGCGACATAGGTCATCTTAGGACACTTCACATAGTAAAGTTAGAGCATTACGATATTATGTTGTAGAGAGAAACCCAACAAGTCCAGCGAATTCCTACCATGCAGCTTACCTCAGCTTTAGTGTGCATTGTGGTTTGTTTTAGTTGATCTGATCCATCTGTTTACAGCATCAGTTTTCAGTAAAAGGTACATATGAACTGACAATACACTACCTGTTCAGCACAACTAGAGTTAGCAGTTAGCTGGTAAATACAGTGGAGCAGTCAGCAGCATGTACAGTCTAATATGTCCATAAAGAGCACGATGGAGTTCAAAACAGAATCAAAAGAAACATCTGAAGTCAAGGTTCAAGAAACATGAGTTGAAAAAAATGCTAATCTTGCTCAGATCTGCTGGATGTATAGAGTTTATATTGAGGACGCAACCTCCGAGTCTGAATAGAAGCCAACGCAAAAGTGACTTAAACTTGCATTATTTCAAACAGCCAGCAGAGGGAGACTCCTCTGATTGCCAAATTGCATAGAAGTCGATGAGGAAATGATCACACTTCTCACATGATTTATTACCTCAGTGAACATCTTACTAATAAATTTATGGCCTCTATCGCTAGTTTCAAGACTTTTTGAATGCAGCATTATGTTTATTTTGTAAATGATAGCGCCATTTTGAGTCAAATCGACGATAAAGCAGGGTACATTTTTGAGGATGGCTACCTAAACAGTAGTGCACAAACCAGGAGGTGACATCGAGCCGCTACATCCATATTTTAAACACAGTCTGTGGCTGGGATTGTAAATAGGCTAACTGGGTTTTTAAAGTGCTAACATGACTGCTCCCACTCAGGCATAAATTAGTTTAAGGAGGTTTACACTTTTTTACCACTTGATTCTCTTGTTTTGTTTTTTTTTACTGGTTGTTTAATAAATCTGAGCTAACATGTTTGCCAGTTGAAGTGATTTTGCAACTGTAGCAGTGAACCCTTGAGTTGTTAGTCTTGAATACTGAGCTCATTATGAAAATGTGTGTGAACTGCATATGATATGAAAAACATAACCATCTGCCCCACCACCATAGACCAGTATATAAACAGAACTTAAATATGCCATGTATACCAATACGATAGAAGTCCGTCAATCACAGGGTAGCTCAACCTTAAAGCCAAGAGTTTATCATCTGTTTTGTCTAAATGGTATCATAAGTTACAATTATTATTAAATTATTACTGGACTGTATCGCAGGAGGATTTTAATTAGCAACCAGAACAGTCGCCCCCTGCTGGCTGTTTGAAAGAATACAGGTTTAGGTCACTTCCACTTTTCTCTTTTCAGACCCAAAGGCTACGTCCATCTTTTATATGCAGGTTGTATCTAGCACAGACTCCGGCAACATGTGTTTTCTTTTACTTGCTTTAGCTTCGTGTGACTCGTGACACGTGTGAATTGTCTCTCCCTGACTCTCTGACTTTACTTTGTCTCTCTCTCTACTTTACATTGAAATCGCCTTATGTTTTTTTTTGCATAATATTTCATGAAATGCCTAAACCAGTTTTAATACATGTGCTGAGGTCAGAATAAACTGAGTGAGAATCCATAATCTGCCATAGGGGTGAATTTGTGTCACTTTAGACAGAACTGAAGGAATATTTTGCTGGATTTTCATCAAAATTTACATTTTTGTCATTTGGGACACAAACCTATTATGTCAAATATGTTCACAGAATCAAAGGAATTTTTGTATTTTAACCAACAAAACATCTTACATGGGAAGCCATTTAAGGAGTCAGTATCCCTGGAAACAAGATAAGATTCAACTTTATAAAGGAGGACGGAACTTCTTTTGCTGGGTGTTACACAGAAAAATGACAAAATGACATACGAGGTGTGTCAGAAAACTTCCAGGACTAGTGTCACAAAAGATATATTCAAAAATCCAAACTACAAACTACTAGTTTTCCCCTTCAGACGATCAACCAGCACAGAGAGTTGCTGTGGTGTTTGCTTCGTTCAGAAGAGGCAGAGTTGTGTCAGGACAAATCGTGGCTGCTTCACCATGACAACCTGCTCACAAGGTCCTGAGCATCCGACAGTTCCTGACTGAGAAGAACATCTCTGTGCTGGAGCAACCTCCCTACTCACCCCACCTGCCTCTGTGGGATTGTTTCCTCTTCCCCAAGCTCAAGGGGGTCATCAAGGAGACCCACTTTGAAGACAACATCAAGATGGCAGTGACGTCGGAGCTGAGGAGGATCCTGGAGGAATCCTTCCAGGAGTGCATGGCGGCGTAAAGAGAAGGCTGGGAAAGTGTGTTAGACTCCAGCAGGACTACTTGGAAGGAGAAAACTTGGAGTTTGTAGTTTGAAATATATCTTTCAGGTCCTGGAACTTTTCTGACACACCTCGTAACATAAAAAATAAGTGCAAATATAACTCCCACAGCCTTAAAAGTTGACACAGACAAAAATGATGACCAGCGGTTCCAGTACAGGTTCTGATTATTATTATTATTATTATTATTATTATTATTATTATTATTATTATTATTATTAACAGATAAAAAGTGCAAGAAAATCCTAAAACTCTCAGCCAAAAATATTTTACCTGACTTATCTTTAAGCCCTGAATTACACGCCTGCATCGCCGCCATATGAAATGACTCAAATCGACCGATGAAGCCGTATGGTCAGGAAGTGTTTGTGTGTCTGAGAGGGGTCGGAGGTTAACTGCTGTACATTTGACCCCTCCTACTTCCTGCACCACCATCACATGACCTCCCCCCCTCCCATGACTGTGATGATGTCTGAACTGTAGCGGTGATGTCATATTGATGGCGGTGATGTCACAGTATGCAGGTCATCTCTCTCTCTCTCTCTCTCTCTCTCTGTCGCTGTAGTTGGTGGATTGTGCTGTTTCTAATCCTTCATCTCTTTGCTCTCTTATGTCTCCCTCTTTCCCCTCCTCTCTCTCTCTCTCTTATTCCCCCTCCTTCTTATCTGTATATCCTCCTCCTCCTCCTCTCTTTCCTCCTGTTTTATCCTCTCTCTTCCCTCTGTATTTTTAACCTCCCATCCCTTCCCCTCTCTCCCCCCTCTGTGTCTCGTTTTCCCTCCATCAGGTGTCCCAATGACTATACGGGGGACCGCTGTCAAAACTCCGTCATGGCCACTTTCTACAGTATGTCCATTTGCTCTTGTCTGTCTCCTTCCCACTGAGATGCTGCATGCCACATCGGAGGGGTTGGATGGAGGGAGCTGTGTGTGTGCGAAAATGTGGGTGTGTTTGTTTAATGTAAGTTAATGAGCTGTGTGTGTGTGGTGTTGTTGTTGTGTGTTTGCATACCTCTGTGTCCACCCCTTCCTCTTTCCCTGTCTCCCCTGGTTTCCTCTGTGGTGCTCCTCTGGCAACCAGAAACAACCACAATCTAGAGATGTTTGTAATTTAACTTTATCATATATTTTTCACTCCAGTTCACCTGCTTGAAATCTCATTTATTATTTACTTGACCTACAAAAGCTGCAAAAAAAAACTCAGTAAGCAACAAATATATTGCACTCCAAATGCTTCTGTTGCAGCTTGATCCAGAGACTTGCACTGAAAAAACAAAAAGAGAGAAAAGAAACAGAGGAGACAGAGAATTAACACAATACAGGAGGTTGAAGTTATTTGCTTTCATTGTTTCACTTTGTCACTTTCCTTTGTAGATGGTCCATCGGTGCAGTAAAAATAAAAGAAATTAAATCAAATGATCAAGGCAAATCTGTGTGGATAGAAGTTATTAATACAAGACCGGACGTCCTGACTCAATGCTGCGTCCCTCTTTTTAAACAACAAGAAAAAAAAAAAAGTCTTTCATTGATTTTTTTTTATTTTTTTTGGGAAGTAGGACTGAAAATTGGAGGCTTCAGATGGACTCTGTTAGTCCTTCTGACGTTGTTTTGAACAGCTGCCAATCATTACAAAAAGCCACAGTGTTTGTCCAAAATCCAAACAATTTGGCAAGTGTACGAGAATAAGATTTAGAGTCAGAATATATTTAACGTTTCGAGTCTTCAGGTAATGAGATTTGAAAGCATCACTCGCGCTCATTCGACTGAGGGCCAGTCCCAATGTGATATTGATCGGCATATAAGTTGAGTTTCTGGATATCAGGTCAGAGAAACTGGTCTTGAGGCTAAAAAAAGATCATGAATGTGGACCCGTTGTTTTCACTCTGAGCATCCATGGATCATCTGATAAAGTCTCTTAATGGCTACATGCTGCTTGAAATACTTTCAGGGTTGAAGATGTTCTGAAACTGTCACGTTTTTTTGCTTCTGACCACAGCGGTATTTAATTAAAGGAAGAGTTTGACATTTGGGGAAGTTCCTTTAGTTGCTGTTTTGAGGAGAAACAGAAGAGACGACTTGTACCGCTCTCATGTTTATACGTTGAATACGAGGCAGTTAGCTTAGCTTAGCACAAAGACTGGAAACGGAGGGAAACAGCTAGCCTGGTGCGCTAAACGGCACTGAGGCTTGCTGAGGCTACATCTGCACTAATTCATCTGCATAATAACGTGATATATCATTTTAAAACAAAAATGATCTTTGTCCAGATGAGCATTTTAGTTCAACATAATCTGTGTTCATTGCAAGTAAATGTGAAGTGGACGAAGAATAGCAATGGTGGAAAATTAGTTAGCAAAGACAGCAATGTTGAAAACAGCTTAATGCACCATCTGTGATGAATTACCAGCTGATAGTCAAAGCTGATGTTTTGGTTTTCTTTTGGAAAATTGACTAAATAAGGCCTAATCATGGAGTCTGCACAACTGCTTCCCAGAATCTCTGTTTCCGTTCGATTAAAACACAAATCTGGAGTTTCCAAACTAAAGTGGATCACCAACATTTAAAAAAAAAAAAGTCCTATTAGTGTAAATGTAGCACAAAATATGTGCTTTAACATGAATTGTATTAGTGTAGATGTAGCCTTATTACCACTGCTGGTGTACATGTAAAAACTGAAATGGGGTTTTTTAGGTTGGGTGAGACGACTTCCTGGTTGGAAGTCTTGTCATTTCTGTGACTTTTAAGATAAAATGAGCCTTTATTCATCCCACAATGGGGACATTTGCAGTGTTACAGCAGCAAAGTAACACATAGGGAAATAAAAAATGTGCATAAGTACTGGTTCTTTCACATGTGGATATTCAGATTGTACAAATTCCTCTGAGCTGGTAAGTGAACTTTACTTTGCTTCCTGTTTGACAGTAACTGTTCCTCTTTATGCTAAGCTAAGCTCGTGCCTCCAGCTTCGTAATTAAAGTACAGACATGTGAATGGTATCAGTCGACTTCTTATGTATAACCTAGATATAGTTTCAGACACTGTGACACAACCCGGTCCTGTCTCTATACGACTAAACTTTACGTTTTGAGGGAAACGTACTTTCTCCGAGATTCAGCGTATCTTCATTTCATCGCTTCGCTGTTGCTGCTAATTAAGTCAATGGTTCGTATTTTGACCCAGACTGTGATATTTTCCTAAATCTAATCAAACAGTGAGTAAAACGGAACTAAAGCATAAGAATAATAGTCTAACATTGGACACAAACCGCCTCATATTTGAAGAATTTCCTACATTTCCTTCAAAACGTAAATCAGAGTGCAGTTTCTTTGCACAGAAATGTAATTTTTGAGACCGGCTGGATATTTGGCACTTTTAATGCAAACTAGCTAACTGTGAATGTCTTCCCTCGAGAGACCGTCTGAAAATAATGTGCAGTTTCTCCGTATTTAAACAGCGTTGTGTCTCTCTGACGGCCGGCGTGTGGTTGTTCTGAACAACTTTGAAACACAAACTGCTTCAGTTTTAGCACAACCCGGCTCTCTGGAGACTTCTGACAAGAAAAAGGCAAATATGTGGATTTCCCAAAATGTCGAACGCTTCCTTTAAAACACAGGGATGCAAATGGGGTGTGTTTTGTCGCTCTCCTGTGTGATTGCATGGGCAGCGACAGTCACTACAATCAGAGAATCACACCACACGCATAACGAGATCCCTCTATGCTTTTGCACACAAACAAAACCGCCTTTTCTCACGTTGTTGTCCAAGCAATCACACGGAGGTAAAACCTGAGGGATTTGAAATGACCCTCTTCTTCTTGTTTCCAGGAGTTTAAACACTGTTGCTTCATTCGTCTTGCTTTGCTGTTCGTCTGTTTGTACTCACGCTGAATTATGTCAAATTTGAGCGCAAGGATTTCCGTCCATTTACTGTATGTAAACGTCTACTTATTTCTGACCCCATCGTCGAGCCTCGTCCACACCGCTGAAACCTGTCTGTGCTTTTGTTTTTTTGTTTTTTTTGCATTGTGATGGTGAAGCGACACCCTCCGTTAAGGTCAGGGTGGGCAGGAGATTGGCTGACCTCTCCTCTCGTTGTGGCCTGTAATGCATGCAAAAGCCATGGAAATTGGGAATGCCGATGAGATGAGTTCTCTGTAAATTATATGACGGGGTTATAGTAGCTGCAGTAGCGGGACAAAGCGCTGTAGAAGAGGTATGCTGTAATCAATACGAAGGCGCACAACTGCCATTAGTCAAACGAGTTACTGCACCCACCCCCCATTTGCTGTGCCAGCCTCATCGACTGTACTGTGTTTTTATGTTGGAGAGTAACTCACTGCTTTTTTTATATCTTTCGTTTTCTTGTTGTTTTCTTTTCCTTTCGTCTTTTTTGTGTTTTTATTATTATTATTATTATGATTATTTTGTGTTGTATTTCTGTCCGACGTTGTTTTACTCCAGAAATGAGGTCTAGTAAATATAGCAGTAAGTGATGTGGCTTCTTGTCTTGCTGTCTTTGTCCGTCTGTCTCTTGTCTCTGCATGCCTTCTCCTGCCTGCTGGTTTTTTCTCTTTCCTTCGGCCTTTTTTTTTTTTTTTTTTTGGTTCATTTTCTCCCTTCGCTTTTGATTTCTGGTTTTGTTTTTGTTTTTTTCCTGTCATTTCTGGGGGTCACAGAGCTGAGGCTGTCTGAGTTGTCTGTCTGTTACTGGACGGTACTCGTGTCAATCACCACCACTGATGGCACTAATTAACGTATATCCTGGTTCAGCGTATGCAGGACATGGAAATAATTGATCTGCTCCAAAGTGGACATTACACCTGACCCTATCTGTCTCTTTCTTTTTACCACGACAACTTTCTGCGCTGGCAGAGCTTCTCAGAATTGAATTTATGGGTATGGAACATTATTATTCATTTTGCTGTGCTTAAAGGGTTTGCCAAGATCCTCTCACAGTCACACATTATTGTGCCATCTTCTTCCTAAAACCAACAACTGGGTCTCTCTCAACCTGTCCCTCTTTTTTCTCCTGTCCACTAACCTGGTTTTAAGACTCCTAACCTCCCTTCTTTGCATGCACCCTTCTTCTAATCTGACAAATTTGGAAAAAACGCAGACATCGGAGAAAGAGACAAATTAAGCGGGAAGGGATGCATTAAAGAAAGAAAGTGCAGAGGTGAATTAAAGCACAATGTAATGGCCCCCGCAATGCTAATCATGTTTATCTGGATGCCAAATCAAAGCAAAAACTACCTTCTCTGTCCAAACAAAACAAAATCAGAGAAGGTTTCACATCATTGATGGATGCACGTACCCGGCTCGTCCTCTGGGCTTCGTCAATGTGCATATTGGCTTGAGCAGCCTGTCGAGTAAAAACATGCGAGCTGCGAGTGTTTTTGCAAAGCGTTGCCAGAAAAGCGAGCAAAAGGCCTGACCACATAGTCTGTCCTTATTATTATGCCCTTGATTGACTCGGTGTCAGAGTCGAGAGCTCGCCTGTCCTAAATCACGATTGCTGCTGGTCCCACTGTGCCGGCGGAGCTCGACTTCCCATTTCCCTTTGCCTTTCTGTATCAGTACCCTGTGACACGCACACAATGCCGGGCCGAGGCTCTCGTAGGCCTGTCAATCCCTACAGAGGCCCTTTATTTAAAGACTCCCCTTCCTCACCCCCTCTTCCCTCCCCTTCAGTGGCGTGTCTAGAGCTTTTCAGAGAGGGGGAAAGGTGATGGTTTAACTGCCAAGCAGCCATTTTCAAATTTTTTTTTTGCATAAGTAGCATATTTAGATCCACAGATAGCAGTAAGCAGCGTTAGTTTGAGTCTAAACTGAGGTTAAACACAAATATTTGTTTGATAAGAAGTTTCAGGACAATTAAAAGTTAATGCCAGCCTGCAGGGGCTTTAATTTGGCCGTAACTAACAATCTACTGACCTCTATAATCCAGTTAGCTGATAAAGGGACAAAGTCAGGTCAGGCTTTGGTTCCTCCCCAGGCCTTTCTCCTGGACACGCCCCTGCTCCCCTTTTTCTCTCCTTCTGTCTATGTGCTCCCCCTTTCCTCACCCCTTTGCTTTTTTTCCTGTTTTTATTCCCTCCCTCTTCCCCTCATGTTCCGTTCTGTCCGTTGCTCCCTCTGTCATTGTGTCGTTGCGCTTGCCGTTCTGACACAGAGTGTTACGCCACAGCGGAGCCGTTTCCAAACCTGAATCAAGCACAAGCACCGGGATGGTGTCGTATTCACACAGCGCCGCCGCACAACTGTTAGAAAATCAATGAGTTTAAAGACGTCGTGTGTGATGTGGTCTAAATATGTCATGAAAGTATAGCCTTAAATCTCAAAGGACTGTTGTCTGAAGGACTGGATGTGAGCAAAAGTGTAATAAATAATAAAGGAACAAAATATGCTAAGGTAATCGTCTTTGATGACAGTTTAAATTTGGACACTGTCGACTTCCTGCAGCCAAAACACATAAATTACTGCATAATTACACATTATTACAACGCATTTATTGGCAACCTCGCTCCAAAACCGCTAAGATAATTTACATGGTCTTACTGTGGATAATACTGTTGCAATTATTTGACCAAAAGGTAAAGGTGGAGGGCAGCAAAAGTAAAATAAAATAACGTTTATTAATATTGCGTTCTTATGCAGCTAAATTGCCTTCTTAGTTAGAGTTTGAGGGAAATGTAGTTTATATCTGCCTTATATGGTAAATATATCGTCTTTACATTTTGAAGTTTTTCCTTTACTGTCGCTTGATTTCAGCCATCCCATAATATATTAGATGGGATGGGACTCGTCACCATGGTAACCCAGAAAACGGAGGCGAAAGGGTTGGATTTAACCCCAAACTGTGATGTTTTGGCTTAACTTCAACTAGCTTCCCACATGAATCGTTGTGAAGTTTTCAACCAAACTATAATATTTCCTGAAAGTTTTGGTGCCGAAACCAAACAGCGAGTGGAAAAAAAAGAGATCCTCCATCAGACTTTGTGGCTCTTTGCTACTGGAAGGCTCTCCTGTTACGTCACAAGCTTAAATTTCAGTGAGAAAAGGTGCTTCTTTCAAAATAAAACTACATTTCCTTCAAAGCGTGAATGAGAATGCCGTTTAGATGTGAAGAAACTTAAAGACAGAGTCGACAAAATTAGGATTTAGTTTGGTTACTAAAATATTATTTTAAAAGTCACTTATCTACGGTGGCCGATGGGGGCGAATGACGTGCATAGACACAAACGAGCTGCAAATACAGACGTGCTGCATGAATGAAAACAAATGCAAAAAGAAAATGCTGCTTATCCAGCCACACGACAGAAGTGCCCCAGGCCTCTAGGGGCAGTTTTCAAGTCTTTAGCTTTTCAGTCACTGTGATTATCTGGGTGCTGAAGTGATGTTTATCCACGTAGACGAGAGAATACAAAGCTTTTCATACAACTTTTCCCTCAACTAACGTCACTTGTCTCGCTCGCCGTTGTCTGCCTCTCAGGTGAAAAGCTCACTACTGCCCCTAGAGGCCTGGGGCACTTCCATCGTGTGACTGGATATGCAGCGTTTCTGTTTATGCAACTCATTCGTGTATATGCAGCTCGGTTGTGTATATGCACGTCATTCGCCCCCGTCGGCCGCCGTACTTATCAGCTTCAGCCGACCACAGGACAGAAAAACATTTATTGTCAGCCTGTTAAAAATAACTAAAAATAAAAAATTGCTGATTAGAAATTAATTAAGTTCATTTGTATTTGGAGGTAAATTCTGTTTAAACTGGAGCTAGATTAATCGGGTGCATGCGCCAAAAAGCCTTCAGACAAAAACATTCTACGTATATAAAAAGCACAATTAAGTTTTAAAACCAACCGACTGTGCGACAGTTAAGGTGAGCTCTGTGAATGCCAAACTTCCAACTCGCTCCCAGGCCGCTGTGGCGTTAACACTTTAAACAGTGTTTCTTATTTATTTCTGTATTTATTTATTTTTTTTGTCATCGGGACGACTTGTCTTTCCGTTGGTTCCATCCACTCAGGCATGCATCCCCTCCATCTGTAGCACCACATCCCCATGGCCATGTAAATTACACTTGTGTAGGGACAGCAGGAAGTCAGGATATGTAGGTTAACATCTCTGCTTTTCATCCTATTTACTAGACTGTAGAGTAACTCGTCTGTGTTGTAGTATGTCTGCAGTATGCTAGTGTAAGACATGTGAGCAGATAGAGCAGGAGTAGTGCAGCACAGGGGACATGATGGCAGCACATTATAGTGAGAGAACTGCTTCTGTAGTCGCCTTCAGTGGAGTAGCACTCATGCTGTGTGTGTGTGTGTGTGTGTGTCTGCGTGTCGTCTGCAATGCATGAACGTGTGCGTGCATGACGTGAACATGTGTGTGTTGTTGTGTGTGTGTGTGTGTGTGTGTGTGTTTGCGTCCACAGAGGCTGAGGAGCTCTACCAGAGGCGGGTGCTGACGATCACAGGCATCTGTGTGGCGTTGTTAGTGGTTGGCATCGTTTGTGTGGTGGCCTACTGCAAAACCAAGTATGTCTTTGAAGGAAAGATAAATGATTCCCCATTTATGAGAGACTCTAAACCTTTTAAATTAACCTCCTGTTAGAAAGAACAATAGTAATTAGCGGCCTGCTCGTCTGCTTGTGATGCAGCAAAGGGAAGAAGTACTCAGATCTTTGTCTTAAGTAAAAGTACTCTTACAATAGAGTCCTGCTTTTAAATTCTAATAAGAATCATATTTTTATGGAAGTATTTATAGCAAAATGCACTTAAAGTCCAACTAAAAGTCCCCCATGACTTATATAGTCTCTTAGAAGTGGGAGAGCATCGAGGAAGTCTGGGGATATTTTATTTTCCTGGAGGAACATTTACCAGCTCAGCTCAGAAAACAACCTGCTGGAAGAACCTTTAAAAACTCAAACGGGGGCTTCTGGATGATTGTTTTGTGGCGTTTGGACTCTTTACACCTGCATTTACTCCTTGTTTTATTTATTTTATCTTCAGACCTTAAAACGTTTTATTGTCTTTGTGCACAACGCAGAATTACAACATGCAGGTAATCAGTGAAGTTCATTAATGAGTAAGAAATAACGAGGCTGGCATTATTATAAGGCTGTTTTTTAATCTCATATAAAACGTGTTTTTTTCATCACTAGAAATTAAAACTGAGGTTGTTTTTTTTTTCAGTAAATGATGGAGTTCTTTTCAACAATATTGGACACATTACTAAATCCACGTTCTAGAGTCTGGTGTTGTATTTTTTGGGGAAATTAGGATCTTATTTGACTTTCTGCTGACAGATTTGTATGAAAATGACTCTTAACACTCAAACCAAGATCCCTATCTGCCTAAATTGGACAAAGTCTCTCAAATTTAGATGTTATTTCGGAACAATATTTTCCAGCAATTTTTTCCCTTATATTTGGGGGGTTAAAAAAACAAAACAAAACCCTATTGCGATAATAAAGAGTTCAAAATGGAACCACAAACCCCAGAAAATAATTCCTTGACGAAGTTTTCTGTGGAACCATTTTGAACTCAAAGGGTTCCTCCACAGTAGTAATGGTTCCTCAAAAGGTTCCTCAATGCTCTTCAGCTTCCAAGAGTGTATTATTATATTATTATTATTATTATTATACTGATGTATCTGAAGGATCATGAAATAAATCTGAATGGTTGTGAGATGATTAATGGAGCAGGAAAGAAGAAAAATGTAGTTCTGTCTTTGGTCTTTGGTGAAATATTTGACTTCCTTAAGCTTTTTTTATTTAAATGAAATGATCCAAGACGTTCAGAGAAGAAATCACTATTGATTATTTAAGTGCAAAAACTTAACTTTAGTACAGTATATTTAAAGAACAATATTTTGCTTCTCTCATTGCTGTAGAGTCTCTAATTCACTCTGATGGCTTCATGCTAATCATTCAGTTGGATTGCTTTGGTTAGCTGGTTTTTCATGTTCTAAAAAGTCCAATCAAGTGAAGTTGATCACCTATTAATTGATACTAACTCCTCCTTCACAGTGTTTTTGTTTATCTACACAAAAGCCCAGGGATCTCCAACTCCGGTCCTCTTGAGCGACTGTCCTGCAGGTTTTAGATGTTTGCAACCACACCTGACTCAAATTAATGGATCATTAACAGACTTGTGTAGAACTTGACAACAAGCTGTTGGAGATCCATTAATGTGAGTCAGGTGTGTTGCAAACATCTAAAACCTGCAGGACAGTCGCTCACGAAGACCAGAGTTGGAGATCCCTGCTGTAGGCAATTAAAGATAATCTTGTTTGACTGAAACTGCATTAACTTATAAAAAAGTTAAACTGATTGTAACTGCTAGGATTATTAGCTTCAATGAATCGTAAATACACGTTGAATAATTTGAACCTGGTTGTTTCATACTGAATCACATTCAGACCAAAACACATAGGAAATAAAACTACATCAACTGGTTGAACAAATATCGAGGACTATAACTCAAACAAGTTAGCCGATCATTTTTAGACGATCGACCCTGATGGTTGTCGAGCCGTGACGTGAAAACTGCAGTTTGCAAAGTTTACGCTTGACTTTTTATCCACCAAAGTTGTGAATACGTGGGGGTATTCACAGGTAGTCTGCTGCCAAAAATAGTAGATTAACCCTGAAATGATGTTGATGAAGCATTTTTCTTCTTGTGAAAGTTACACCAATGAGAATCGGGTCAGATGAGAGCACACTGACCAACCAGTCAACCTGCAGACGACAGCATTCTGTCTCACAATCCACAGTATTTTACAGTATAAATACAACAAAAGAACTTAATTTGTAGGTGGTTAAAAGAACTATAAATGTTACTGCAGTGTTTTGAGTGTCAGTGTCAGCAAGATGACAGACGACAGATAGTTTCCAGTTGAACACCTTTGCCGGATCACTCATTGCTTCTTCTTCGTCGTCGTCATACCGCCAGGAAGCAGAGGAAGAAGATGCAGACTCACCTACACCAAAACCAGAATCAGTGTGTGGAGCAGCCAAACCGCATGATGGCCAACGGACCAAACCACCCGGGGCCCGGTCCAGAGGAGATCCCCATGGTTGATGTGAGTCCAAACGCACAGCAGAGGCAGGGACACGCAGCTCAAGGTCAGATATAAACTCAGTAACTCTGGAGATAAAGTCATCCCGAGGTCGTGCTGAGAACGACGCCCAGAACAGGTCACTGCAGGCACACTGAGGAGCTGCTCTCCAGGAACAGAGAACAGTTGTTTTTAAATATAGGGAAGAATCTACAGATTTTTTTCAATATTTAGCTTTGTGTGTTTTTTAATCAGAACTCTGGTTTAAGTGTAAAGTTAGTTCCAGAGTCGGTGCAGTTGCCAAAGGCACTTCTAGCATCTGTGATATTGTTTTAGTTTCTGCAGCACAATACAATACATCAATAGCAATTAATTTGCAAGCATCTATTCGCTAGCAATCAGATAAAAGTACATTTTGTGCTCTCTGTCAAAGCCCACAGCGTCTGCTCAAATAAAAGCACACGTATCAGTGCTTTCAATTAAATATAGCCGTCCTATAAATAGTATGTTGGTGTCAGAATGTTCAGAATAGCCTCAGATATTCATTAAGGCTAAAAGAGGGACAGAAGAAGGAAAAAGACAATTGGAACTAGATGTCAGCGTCACCCGAGGAAGCTGCACAAGAAGCCTTCAGAGCCTCGGTGGGTTCGGTTACTGACCAAGTTCGTCCAGCTTTGGGACTCAGACTTCACTCCAGCAATAAAGTTATTTCAGCCTTCAGAGCGGTTCTGCCTCCACAAGAGGATCTGTGTAAATAAAAGTGTGATCCGCTGACATCGCAGGGAAATTTGGTGCCACGTAGCCGACAGATGTTAAAGAGAGGCCAGAAAACACCTACCATCCCGTTGGAGGCATAATAGGCATGAGTCAGCATAACAGCAACAGTGGAAGCACAGAGGAGAGAAAAACAACAGACAGACACAGAAACACCCTCTGATGCTGAGACGTCGGCTCACGTTTATGTAGGTTTTGTTGTTGTTTTGTATGTAGAAAATAAGACAGCTGAACTACAAGTAATTAAACATCTTTATGTGTTTTGTTTTTTTTGCAGTACATCTCTAAGAGCGTCCCCACGACGGAGTGTGTGATCAGCCACGGAGCCGAACGTGCAGGCAACTATGCAGGCAGTCGAATGTCGACCCGCTCCCACCACTCTACCACTGCCTCACATGCTTCCAGGTAAACCACACATGGACACCAGGACGCACGCAAAAGTCCAACATAAAGCGTCCTACTGTCTTTATTTATCATTACACAAGATCTCATAAGGAGATTTCTGTTGAATTCATCTCATCTATATTAGGAGACTGTTAAACCTGGATTTAAAACATCGGAGCTACCTGTGTGGTTTGATATCGCTGGGACTAACAGAGGAAATGCATTTTGGTGATGAAGTGACGTGTTCTGATTTGCTGTCAGCGGAGTTCAGCTTGTGTTCTGCTGGACTGGCCTCCTTTTTGACCCGTCTGTAGATCACTTTGCAAACTCTGCTTTTAAAAGTTGCTGTATATTCATCATTTTAAAGTTGACCTCCAACTGTAGCTACAGCCGCTGGGCATGGCCAGAAAACTGCATTTAAGGATGGATTAAGCCTGACGTTTTTGGTTTTGACGGTGTGGTAGCTCCACTTGTAACCATGTCGGCAGCGCCTGACTCCTCCTAACTCCCAGTTCATCCAAAGATTGAGAGGAGAAGCTGTGGACTGTCCAACCACACCCTTAAATGTGCACAGCTTTGAGCCTTAATGCAATTTAAATGGATGGGTTATATAAAGAGTCACCCCTCGTACAGTTGTCGTTAAAGAAGAAATTAGCTATAGAGACCAAACCCATTTGTTGTACCAGGCTGCAAACAGTTTTATTTCTGCTGTAAAGTCGGCCTCTTTAACACCTACGTCTGTGGGGATTAAGTCGCTCTTGGAGCCAGCCTCAAGTGTGCATTTGAGGAACTGCAGTTTTGGCACTTAGCTTTATTTTTTTAAGCCCGGAAGTTACTGCGTTGGCATAACTGCTAAACCTGAAACATGCCAACCTCTCTGAATCCAGCTAGCTTTTAGTTTTAGCACCTCACCTACAAACAGCCAGGCTTTTGACAGCTCCAGCAGAAGCTACATTCAACAAGAGGAACATGAGTCTCCCCGTTTTATTGCTGTTTTGCACACTTGCACGGCTGGTAGATGACTGTCAATGACAGAATAGTTTGATGAACTGTTTTCATCAAAATCCAACTTTTCTCTCAATTTCAGTTCCTCAACTTTGGGTATCTGCTGATGGAGTATCGATCAAACACCTGTGCTTTCTTTTCCCCAATTTTAAAATCTGTGTCCTCACCTTGTGGAACTCAGTGGAATAGTTTTTGTGTGTGAGGTAACATGAGGTCACGGGTTGCTTCAGGTCGGAAAAACTGACGCTTGACACCGATCCTCCACACTGGGTCGAGTATTCCTTCGAAGTTATCGCTTGATGTTGCTTTGCGTTGCTTTTTTTTGGACGATGTTGACATTTTTTCTGGTTTATTCCGGGTCAACGCTCATTTCACCGTCAGCATCCTCCTCCGTGCCGCTGTAACCTTTTTCTAACTCCTCACCTGCAGACACGAGGAGCAGACGTGGAGCATGGAGCGAACTGAGAGTATGAACTCAGACTGCCAGTCAGGTGGGCTCTCCAGCTCGGTGGGAACCAGTAAGTGCAGCAGCCCGGCGTGCATGGCGAGGAGGGCCGCCCACTGGGGCTGCGCGGACGTATCCGGACCGGGGATGCAGTACGGGGACTCCTACGACTCTCTAAGAGACTCACCTCACAGCGACAGGTAGAGGAAGTGGCACCGGCAGTGATGCTGGTTTTTCCTTTGTTGTGTTTTTGTCACACCAGACCCTGTTTTGCTCTCTGGCGACACCAAGTGGCAGCTGCTTGTTTGGATTCTTTTGTGCGAAGGACTACATTACCCAAATACCGGTGACTCAAAGGTGAAATCAGTGTTTCCTGGGAGCTGAATGTGATGAAATAATCATTGTCAGAATACAACACTCACAGATTTTGTTAAGGTTTTGGATATCATTTTTGTTGGAGCAATTTAGTTTTGATGGTTTAGTCGTTTCCTACATGTCCCAGAATGCCCTCTGGCTTCCTGTATAAACAAGCTTTACATGTAGCTATGACTGTATTATTTACGTGCACCACAGACATACAGATACGTGACATAAACAGCTTATTTTTAACATTAAATTACTTCTAAAATAATGTGGTATAATTGTGACAGTCACTCATTTTATTTATAAAATACGTTAACAACAAAACACATCTCCCTCTTGTGCTTTTCTTTATTATTCCGAACACGTAATCCACAATGAGCGACATGAATTTGTGTTTCTGACTGTGTTATCTCTGCTGTGCGTTACCTGAGCTGAACTCTGTGAGGTGCAGCAGCAGTCGTACACGTCGTGTAGCTGTGAGCGCACATGTGCAGTGATGTTATTTATATTCTGACTGACTGACTGAGTGGGTGTTGGAGGTGGCTCAGCGGTTAACGCTGCCATTTTTTATGGCGAAAAGGTTCTGCGTGCAAAACCTGAGCCAACCCGCTGCAGTGTTTCTGTTTGGAGTTTGCATATTTCATCCGACAATCAGAAGATTTACGGGTCAGGTGGGCTGGAGAAGCAGGTGTGAGTGCAGGTGCTTGTTTGTGTGTGTTGTGCTGCGATTCAAAAATGTCTTCCTTTGTAAAAGAATTGTGAAGATTCAACTTGGAAACTCAGTGTATCACCGAAGTGAACGTGAAGCTACAAAGCTATAATAGTGAATGACAGAAGCTTTCTGAAACATTTGATGTTAATGGTGGAATATTCTGTTAATTTAAATTTTTATGTGAGACAGCCTCTGATCATTCATCCTCCTCTGTGTTGCTGATGTTCACACATTCATTCGCTGTGTGTCGTAACAAGACGAGTTTAGCCACGTCGATTTGTTCGTATTCATTGTGGTGAGTCATAGAATTCACAATTTTGACATTTCTGACCTCCAGCTGGAACCAAATGTGGCTTTGGCTCTCAGACTGACTGGTGACTTGTCCACGATGTACCCTTATTCTGGCCCAGAGCATCCTGGGAGTATTTTAGAAAACAGAAGGACAGGATGGCCCATACTGACTATCCACTTGCTCAAAAAGTGTGTTCACATGAGAGAAGTGCAGCCCCATCTTTTGTACCCAACATCTAACAGAACCTCGTCCATAATTCTTAATACTCTTTGCATCACGGTTTTTGCTGCTGTGCTTTAGTCCCAAAAGTACCTGAAACACCTGAGAAGTTTAAAATTGTAGTAACAGTCAAACATTTTTGTCGTCTTTGTTGATGTTTTGTTGTGTGTGAGACAGCCGTAGGAATCACTTTTTTGTCCTTTCTCGTTCAGGTATGTGTCTGCACTGACCACGCCGGCGCGCCTGTCTCCCGTGGAGTTCCACTACCCCCCGCTGCCCCCCCAGGTGCCCACCTTCCAGATCACCTCGCCCAACACAAGCCACGCCCTCTCCCTGCCCCCTGCTGCCGCCGCCTACCACAGAGAAGACGACCAGCCGCTGCTACGATGCCCCGACGTACGTAGACAAATGTAGCAGGGAGAGACCGATTATTATTCTTTTAGTTTTTATTATTGAATGGGGCTGAAATTTAGCATTTTTCCTATTATCAGTGTCATTATTATTATTATTATTTTTTTTTATTAAATGATTTGTTGGGTGGGTTTGCAGGTACTCGAGCATAAGAGGCATTTTTGTTTATTAATTTAACTGGAACATACCTAGGTTTTTGTAGATAGATACGTTACTCATTCCTTGTGGGAAATTCAGTAGCTCATTCATATTACATGTAAGAAAAAATACAGTAAGTTGCAAATGGTGCTGGTGTAAGAATAAGTTAAGGTGCAAGAAAAAAATACAACCTAACAATAAAAATTAATAATATTGCACAGTTGTAGGCATTGTTTAGTCTTTGCGCTGTCTTTCTAGCAGAGAAAACCCCCACAAAAAGTAAACAAGAGACACCAGCCGTCATCACAAACATGGAAACTTGCTGCTGTCACGGTGTATAAGACTATGCTAACCGCTAGCAGCTAAGTTAACAGCCACAGATTACCACGAAACAGTGTCTGGAAAAATAGTAACGCTTTAAGATATGGGCCTGAGAGGTGATAAAAGTGTCAGAAAAGTGAGAAATTTTCTTTCATGATCATTTCAGGTACTGTCATAGTTTCAAAACCTCAAAACTTTTATGCTGAACCGAGTCTGAATCTGCTGCCATTTCTAAATCTGTGGCGCTGAGTGCAGCTGACGAATGACTGGAGCCTGAAAACAGTGATGTCATGTAGCAATACAGAGGGAAGATATTTGTTAGAGTGACTTAAAACATTTAACAGAAATGTTAAAACAATGCGTCAATTAAATTAAACCGATTATGCCGACTAATAGCAGCACTTTTGTTGATCAGGCTTTAGATACACGGTAGCTGTTGGTAGAATGGATCTGTCGTTGGCTCGGCTTCTCTCTTTGGATTTCATTGAGGAAGATATATCGTGTAACCTTCCTTTAACCTGAAGTTTCTGTGTTGGCGTCCTCCCTGCAGAAGTTCTGTATTGTCGTTGCACGGGGTACAACCACATTAGGCAGCACTCCTGTCTGTGCATTCACAAATCTGACATTTTAAAAGTACAGAAAGAAGGTCACACCTCTGGATATTGGACGTTGCTCAACATACGAGGTGTGTCAGAAAAGTTCCAGGACTGGTGTCACAAAAGATAGATTTCAAACCCGAACTGCAAAGTTTCCCCTTCAGACGATCAACCAGCACGTCTACAAAGAGATCCTCCAGGGTTTGCTTCATCCAGAAGAGGCAGAAGAGTTGTGGCAGGACAAGTCGTGGCTGCTTCACCATGACAACCTGCTCACAACGCCCTGAGCATCCCACAGTTCCTGGCTGAGAAGAACATCTCCGTGCTGGAGCAACCTCCCTACTCACCCCACCTGGCTCCAAGGGATTGTTTCCTCTTCCCCAAGCTCAAGGGGGTCATCAAGGAGACCTGTTTTAAAGACGTGGATGACATCAGGATGGCTGTGACGACGGAGCTGCGGAGGATCCCAGAAGAATCCTTCCAGGAGTGCATGGCGACGTGAAGAGAAGGCTGGAAAAGTGTGTTAGACTCCAGGGGGATGACTTGGAAGGAGAAAACCGATGTTCTTCTCAGCCAGGAACTGTCGGATGCTCAGGGCGTTGTGAGCAGGCGCATTGTTGTGGTGAAGCAGCCATGACTCGTCCTGCCACAACTCTGCCTCTTCTCGAGCACTGAATGAAGCAAACGCTGCAGGATCTCTTTGTAGACGTGCTGGTTGATCATCTGAAGGGGAAAACTCGTGGTTTGTAGTTTGGGTTCGAAATATATCTTTTGTGACACCAGTCCTGGAACTTTTCTGACACACCTCGTCTATGAAAAAAGTAAAGTAGTGCATACAAGGTGTGTGTGTTCAACATGTGGTGTGTTTCCTCTTTCAGGATGGAAGTTTATACAGGCAGCCTCGGCGTCCGCGGCGACCCTACCTGACGGAGAGCACAGGAAGTCTACCGTCCAGCCCCTACCGCCTCCCTGACGAAGAGGCCTACGAGACGACGCAGGAGTACGCCTCTTCACGGGAACCCATCCGGAGCCGGCGCCGCCCGCGACGCAACCGCCTCAACGGACACGTGTCCCAGCGCTCGGCGGGCCTTCGGGACTACAGCTCACAGAGCTTCAGCCAGTCAGAGGAGGAGGAAGAGGAGGAGGAGGAAGAGGACGCTCACGGGGAGAGCACGCCTTTCCTTAGTATGCAGAACATGAACATGGACCCGCCGCTGTCCGCCCCGGGTTTCCGTTCGTCATCCGGCGCCGACACACGGACTCACCGCGGGCTGAGTCGGCCGGGGACGCGCAGCAACGGGCAGAGTCGCGGCTCGCAGTCGCAGCGCTCGAAGGCTGACAACATGCCCCTTTAAGACTGAACCGACGCCCACCCATACACCCCCGACACTCCCACCCTCCACCTCACACACTCCCCTTCCTCCTACACACAACCAGTGGACTAGAGACCTGCACCTAGGAGAAATATTTTTATTTTGTATAACAGACAGATATTCTAAACAAATGAAATATTTATTTTCATTTTAGCAAAAGTTGTCTACTAGTTAACAGCAAAGACTTTTTTATAGGGAAAACTCTATTTATATGTACATTTTGATTTACAGCATAAAAAGATGTGCCAGTTTTTTCACAACGTAAAAAATAGAGTAATATTGTGGTGCCTTTTGCTGTATGCTGAAGTCGGAGGTCCCATTGAGTTTTTGTAGCCTTTCTTATAAAGACTCCTCGTTTTTATAGAGACCAACCCTCTTCCTTCCTTTTGCTTTGTTTTTTTTCTCTGATTTGGGATCTTCCTCTTTTTGAACTGTGATCTGATTATGTCATCATGCAATATTGATTCCTCCTGTGTAAAAGGTGTCTGTTTACATGAGTATGATCCACGCGACGCGCTCGTTTCACAGGGACATTTAGTCAACCGGATGTGTAGGGTAGTTTTCTCGGACGAACACACGTCGGCCATTTATGTCCTCGTTCGCTGCCTGTCAGTCATTTTGTTGTTATTTCTGTGAAAATAAGAGTGTTAGAGGGGAGTTGTTGAGGGAAAGTGACTCCAGATTCCTGTGTAGGTGTTCAGGGTGCTGCCATGACATACTGGTGGTGGTTGCAGTGTGTGTGTGTGTGTGTGTGTTTGTGTGTTTGTGTGCGTGCTTGTGTAGAGTCCTCATGAAGCCTCATTCGGTTGGCGCCTCTGTTCACCTTGGAGGTCTCTCGTTTGACTGACATGCTCCTCTCACCAATCCTCACGCTGCCAGAAGCTCCATTGCACTGTAAGAACCTCCCTCCGTGAGCAGTCATTGGCCAGGGAGCTGCCGATCCAAACCGAAACCTAACCAATCCAGTTGTAATCCAGCCTGACTCTGGCCTCCCGTGGACTGCCCAGCCCGCCCGTTTCCTATGCCAGCAGCTTAGAGCCGCACTGTGTCTCAGGACTTCCCCATCACATCACAGCCGAAAGACTCAAAGCAGAGAGAGCTCGTCATCTCAGTCACAGTTCAGTCCGCAGGCCAGATCCACGTCCCCCTCGCCCTCCTTCGTTCTCCATCCGTCGGGTTTTTTTCTTGCGTTGACTCGTGGCCACGATCAGAGGGAGCGCTGGTGAAAACCTCTGGAACCAGAAGGGAGATTCAGTTGCTTTATTTCTTTTTCTTTTTCTTTATTTGTTTTACTTCTAAAGGTTGTGTGTGTGCAAGTGAGCATGTGTGTGATTCACAACGAAAAGATGGCGACCACATGCTCTGATGCAGGGGCGTACCTAGGAAATCTGCCCCTATTCCCGCCCACCTCACCACCCCCACCACCCCCCTGAGAGGAGGATATCGCTCTGGGTTCCCCCCTTCTTTTTCTTTTGTTTTACTTTTTTCTTGTTTTTTTTCTACGAATATAATCCTACTGGAAACTCCCACACGGGCTAGAAACCGTCACCACGTCTCACCACACTCTAGCGATGGTACTGCTCTGATGGGGGGAAGAAAAAAAAAAACAATGCAGGTCGCTGCGTGCGGGTTCACACTGCTAGAGAGTTTTTATTTAAGCTCACAGCCAAACGGTGGCATATGATAATCCTGATTACTGCATCCTTGATTTGCATTCCTATACCTTTTATTGATTGAACTTCTTTTTTGCTGAATGATCTGTTACGTGTCTGTCTCCGTCTCCTTCCACCTCGCGTCACCTCCTTCACCTTCATGTCTTCCTTCACCCTCCTACTGACCTTCAGAAGCAACTAGCGGACGAATTTAAGCCCCACATCTCCGAGACGAGTGTACCGAGCAGCACACTTCACAGTAGGCTGATCACGTCCAGAAACTCTTCCACTTCAGATATACATTAGAGACCCCTTTAGAGACCCCCCACCCCCCACTTCAAGCTCACTGAGGAAACTGTGTTAGATACAGATATGTGTCCCTGTTAGAGTTAATTTAGTTGTTTTTTTTAGTTGGTTTTTCACACAGGCGATGCATGGATCACAGATATAGAAAGTATCTTAAAAATGGCAACAAAACCCCCCTCGGATTCAGGGGAATCATACTAGAAATATATAAAAATATTATTTGGGTGTACATGGCCCAAAGGTCTGGCTAGTTTTGTCTTTACTATCACTGTAATCAATCTGGGATTTGCAATGTGGAAATACTGCAAGTGAGGATAGTGTGCTTCTAGAGCTAGTTGAATTGTTAACAAACCCACCCTCATCCTCCTCGCCCTGCACACACACACACAAACACAGACCTAACACACACACACACACACACACACACACACACCAACCCTCACACAACCACACACAGCCCTTTCCATGTTTGTTTGTCAAGCAGTTTGTCTTTTTTACCTCCCGACTCTCCTCCTCCTCCTTCTTCTTCTTCTTCCCCCCTCTCTCTCTCTCTCTTTTTCTCTTGCTCTCTCTCGCGCTCTCTCTCTCTCTCTCTCTCTCTCTCTCTCTCCGTCCTCCCCCAAAACCTCCCCTCCTCTCACCCCGTTCAAAAAAAATAAAAAATCCCCCCTGCATGTCCTAGTGGTACTGGTAGTTGGGTGCATGGAAAAAGCAGCAAGCAAATCGTTTTTCCACTCGGTGAAATAAAAAATAAAAATGTGTCTTCATTTTAACATTCAGCAATAAATCCCCCTTTCTCTTCATGTCCATCATTCTTGGAATATGCTAGAAGATTTTTTGCAAGTTTTATCAAAAACATACTACTTGTAAAAGAAGAAAAACTCCAAAAACCACCCCTTCATATGAAAAATAAAACTTTATTCCTACCATTTTGAAACAGTCCTGTCATCTTTGTAACATTAAAAAAAAAACAAACAACAAAAGCATTTCTTTTCACTCATTAGTGCATTTATTGCGGGAGAAAAGATGGAAGAGGAGCAACAAATGTGAAAATGGGTGAGTCACACCTGCAAATAAGAACACTAGGTGGCAGCATTTACTTCCACCTTAAATTAAAGTGAAATTTGGCTTGTTAGATACTAAAATATCACTTGGTTTCTGTGTGTATCTCCTAGAAATGCTACAAAAAACATGTTCTTTATTGCACAGCTGCAAGTTTCACATCACATCAGTCAGATTTTCACAGCACAGGTGGTTCTGATAAAGTTATGGCTGCATACAATTTACATTTAAGGTGGTCTGCTAGTTAACTCATTGGGCCAAAGCTATCATATTAGCAACACGTGTGCTTTTCCCACAAATAAAAGTCAAAATATCTGCTCTTGTAGTGTTTAAATTGTCAGAATTTGCGTAAACGATATTGATATTTGATGTTTTACAGCCAGAAACTAACACAATGAGACCACGCAGCCTGCAGAGAATAATTAGCATTAAAATGCACCTGTTCTGTTTTGCCATCAGCTGACTCACAGTTGGTTTCCTTGCCCCCAGAAGCGTTGCAACACAAAAGTTTTAGGATTCCAGATACTCCCTCCAGCGCAAGTCTGCATGCACAGTTCCTGCTGGACCAGACGAGCACGTGTCTTTGGGGTGACGAGGCTCGGTGGAGATGACACTTGGTGCAGGCGCGGCTGCTCATCTTCCAGATCGGCAGGTAATTCAGTTTCTGTGCTTGAAAGCTGTCACTGCCGTACCTGTTCTCACCAGTTTCCCCTCAGCTGTCATGTTTAATGCGTCATTGGGATGTCAACAGGTTTTGGTATTTAGTGTATCTCGCATGACTTAATAAGGCAGAAGTTCCCAAACAGCCTAATGGTAGCACAGGCCTTCACGACGTTTACTGTCCCCACAAGCACACAAACATCACTTAAAGGTCTGTTTAAATACAAGCACAGAAGACCACAAGAACCGTAATACTGTCTCCCTGTAGAAACTGCAGAACCGAGTAAACATGGAATACATAGGAGCAGAAAACACGGCTTTTTATCTAACAAACAATAAAATGTGAGGCTTAAATCTGATATTACTAATTGTTTTTTTTAATTGGATTTGATTTCTGGGATTGATCTCACATGATGTTAATGATTACGTATGAACAACAATATGATCATAACATACATCAAGTTCATCTTTAGCTGTTTATTGTGTTTGTTGAGTGAGAATGAAATAGTTTTTTCTGTTTTTGTTTGTTTTTACAGTAATAGCAAATGTACATAACTAACATAGTTTATGAAGCAGTGAAATAAAGCACCTGCTTAGTCAATTAATGACAGGAGAAACTTTTTTTTAATGCATAAATACACCACATTACGTTGGCATTGTGTGGCACTAAATCAATTAGACACAAACCACTGCCATTTATGTCTTTCAATTTTAGATCCAGACTTCTCTCTGCTGCTGCTTCCTGCTATCTGTAGTGACATCAGCAGTTTAACACGTAATAAATGTGATCCTATTTGTATTCATCCTCACTATTATATATATATTCTTTGTTGTCTTGCCGCTGGTTCCAGGCCAATTCCGCTGTCACTCATCGCACTACAATGCACTTCTGTTTGCTCCGTCAGTGGGCGTATCCTCGTACATAAACCTGACAGTCGCTGCTCATTCAGTTTTTCAGGATCCACAGCAGCCTCTCCTGTCAGCAGCTCCGGGTTCTGCTGAGTTTAGGGTGCAAAAAAAAAAAGAAAAAGGGAAAACCTTTGTTGACTCTCTGGATTACATCTTTAGTCCTGGGTACAGAGGGATTCTCATGTTCTTGATGCTTTACTGAAGCGAACAATGGAGCCGTCGGATTAGCAGAAGGAACCAGCAGCCAGCACATGAGCATTCAGTGAACAAGGGAGCCTTCGTTTCAAACAGGTGAGCCAAGAAAAAAAAAGATGCTCTCATCTTGTCAGATAACTTTCATTAACGGTATTTAGAAGATGCCACACAGTGATGTTTTTGTCATTAAACTGTGGTGATTTATTTTTTCATCATTTCAAAGGATCAGTAGTTGACAAAAAACATCAACAAGTTTAGAGAACGGTTTTAATCATATCACACGATCTTTCCAAGCAGGCGGAGTTGCTCGAGGTGTCACTGAGCTGTAGATTTAGTCAGGATAGTGAATGTCATTTAATTTATCAGGAAAAAAAAGGTAATTGAATTTATGATTTCATCAGAAATGAGCAAAGTCCATCTACTGAAGAGGGTGTAATAATTATTTACTAATTATGCAATAAAGCTGAAGACTCCTGAGCGGGTATTTCGTGCACCTGCCTGTGAGACGAGTTTGTCGACTTTTAAGCGTCGCCTCATTCTTGTATTTCTGTGTTTCTCCCTTTTCTCTCATGACTCCTCCTGACTTGTACTTCCATTGAATATCTGTTCCGCCAAATTATACAAAGTTCAGTTTGAAATGCAGTCAGTTTGCACCAATAAACTCCCACCCCGAACATGTACAAATCATATTAAACAAGATAAATAAATCCTATCTGTTCTATATTTTGATAGTCAGAAACATCTGCTGCCAACAGATTTCAGATTGGTCCCCACTAACACACAGTTTGTACTTTTGCAGTGGAATGGCGCAGTTTTCCTGTCGCTGGCGTAACGTGTTCATCTGTGTGTGCACGCCATGCCTCTGCATGCTGCTGCTGTTCTTCTACGCTGGGATTGTGATGTGTATGAGGATGAAGGGTGTAAAAGCACCGTGGACCCCAGAAAATCCTCAATTTGTGGCCCCAGGAATTTCAGAACACAAGGGTTTCGCTCCAATACCGAAAGCTTTCTGGAGAAATGAACTGCACCAAGACGCCTTTTGGAACCAGCTCCAGCTGGACGTCGACCGCAGTCTAAACCCCATCCTGCGCCCCAGTGCGACCAAGAGAGGATTGAAAGGCAGCAAGTTTAGCTTCTTGTTAAGACAAAGTTTCTCTGAGGCTAAAAAACAGGAAAACATGAAGAAAATCTTTCACAATCTGCCACCTCACATTCAGAGGTTTGTAAACTACATGCAGAGGAGGACCTACCCAATCGTCCTCCAGCCAGACGGAGAATGTGGAGCGCAGGCAAAGGAGGAGAAACAGCCTCCTCTGATTCTGTTCGCCATCAAGACAGAAGAGTTAAACTTCAAGAACCGACAGGCCATTCGACAGACCTGGGGAAGGGCGGGGTGGGTGGCAGGACAGAAGAGAAATGGCAGCGCAGAGGAAGAAGTTGGAGGGTACGTCCGCAGGGTGTTCCTGCTCGGCAAAGAAAACCCAGATGACCTGGGAGTGAACATTTCAGAGTTACTGCGGATGGAGAATGAACATTATGGAGACATTCTGCAGTGGGACTTTGACGACACGTTTTCCAACCTCACTTTGAAGGACGTGCTCTTCTGGAGGTGGTTCTCACGCTCGCGCTGTCCAACTGTTTTCGTCTTTAAGGGAGATGACGACGTCTTCGTCAACACCCCAAACCTGATAACTTACCTCTGGGACCAACTGGTGACTCTGCAAGCAAACAAGACGTTGAAAGATTTCATGGTTGGAGACGTCATAGCAGCAGCAGCACCCAACAGAGAGGATAAATCCAAGTACTTTATCCCAGAGAGCTTCTACAGTGGTCGCTATCCACGCTATGCAGGCGGAGGAGGGGTGGTGTACTCAAGCCTGCTGGCCAAGCGCCTGAACCTCATTTCCAAAAGAGTTCACCTCTACCCCATCGATGACGTTTATGTTGGGATGTGCATGCTCCAGCTTAATGCCTTCCCTGTCCACCACCCCGCCTTCCTCACATTTGACTTTCCTGGAGAGGAAGAGAAACAGCCGTGTTCCTACCACAAAATCCTGCTGGTCCACAAACGAAACCCTGAGCACACAGTTCGACTGTGGTCCGACCTAAAGCAGACACAGACTCAATGTAAGGACGTATCCTTGAGGGTTGACGTGAAGAAAAAAAACATATCGAAGCCATGAGACTCTCACAGGTGATTTACGGCAGCGTTTGTTTATTGAGGAGATGTTGTACTGTTATCCACCCATCTATTATCTATACACCGCTTAATCCTCATTAGGGTCATGGGGGGCTGGAGTCTATCCCAGCTGACTCAGGGTGAAGGCAGGTTCACCTGGACAGGTCACCAGTCTATCACAGGGCTACATTTAGAGACAGACAACCAAGCACACTCACATTCACACCTACGGACAATTTAGAATCACCAATTAACCTCAACATGTTTTTGGACTGTGGGAGGAAGCCGGAGAACCCGGAGAGAACCCACGCTGCACGGGGAGAACATGCAAACTCCACGCAGAAAGATCCCGGGTGTCCTCACCAGGACGCGAACTGGCGACCTTCCTGCTGCGAGACAACGGTGCTAACCACTGCTCCACCTTGCAGCCTCTGTTGTACTGTTATGATGGTGACAAATAGTATTTATTTACTTCAGGAATCCGTGTGCTGTCGTTGTATTTATATTCACCAAACAATGTGAAAACTTGCGATCCATCAGCAACAATATCTGAAGGTCCACTGTGTACGGTTTAGCCCCATTTAGCAGTCAGGTTGCAGATTGTAGCCCACAGAATACCCCCTTCCCTTTCCATTTGTGTACGAGAGCCCAGGGTAGCTGCTAAAAACGTTTTAAAAAACACGAAAGGCTGTTTCTAGAACCAGTATTTGGTCTGTCCATTCCATAGACTGTCAGTTTAAAAGAGGGATGGAGCCACCAGGACACCACCTATTGGTTCATGGACCAGTTTTGAAGCTCCAAGTTTGGAATTTAGCCATTCCCATCTTGGTTGTTGAGAGTTCTGTGGTTTTGACTAAGAACTCAGTGACACAATACACACTCATATGGTAACGACTTGGCAATGACAAGGTTAAAAAAATACCCTCTTTATCATCGATTTTACTCTAAATGGAACCATCATTTACTAAATCAACAACATGCTGTGTTGAAGGAGACAATTGAGACCATAAAGTCATTCGGAAAACTTTAGCTTGTGCAATAAATCAAGTGAGAAGTATGTTCATTTTCTCATTGACTTTGATGCTGTTTTTGCAACCAGAAGCCTCCCCCTTCCCCCTCTTATGAAGAATGCAGGTTTAAGGCTTCACTTTTCAGACCTGGAGGCTACATCCATCCTTTACATACAGTCATTGGTTCCTTCTGGGTCGCTGGAGAAACAAGGCAGTGAAACATTCTTCCAAGTTTCTTGCTTCCAGGTGATTATAGACGAATATAACTATGAATATAATGATGCATTTCTGGTGATAAATGCCCCTAAATCCTACACAGTGGACCTTTAATAATAATAATTGACAGGATTATACCAGTGTTTTTTCTTTGTTTTTGCTGCTGACATACTGTACATTGCACAACCAAGTAGTTTTTTATATTACCATAAAGTCTTTGACTTTTTTTTCTAAATGTGTTCTTCCTTCCTTTCAAGCAGCTGCAAACTTCAGTTCATTATTTTTTATAAAAACTACCTGTAGAGACTGTACTCTATCACAGTCTCTACATCACTGTCTGTCCTGCTTGTGAATTTCAAATCGACATGTACATATCACTACAACTCTATTATCATTAAATGATCTTTTTTGTAAAACATCATGTCCACTGCAGCGTAATTCATCTCCATCTTCAAGTAGTTTCCCAAATGAGACTGAAATCAAATGGAACTAAATGGAGGGAGAATGTTATTTTCCTAATGTGACGTTTTTATGGAGCTAAAAAGTTGAGCTTTTGTGGCAGAACTCAGTCTGAAGCTGCGCTTGGTGAACAATAACTACATTCACCACCACTAGTGAGCTACTAAACAGACATGGCTGCAGCGGTGACTCAGAGTGTGTCCAATTAAAGGTGGTTTGATTGTTTATGAATTACATTTAATTTAACTTTTCAATGTGCTATTTCTGCCTTAACATGCAAACATCTTGATGCACGGGGCAGTTTGAGTAGCTCATTAAAAGCAGCTGAAATTGGTCTATTAAAGCATTCCAGTGTGATGAATGTCTCACCAAAATTAGGACAGGTTTGTGATTACAGCGGTCGGACCAGTTCTGCAGAATCGAGACGAGAACAGTGTGAAGCAGACACACAGAAAAAGATGCTTATCGGCTTCTAGTATTGTTCGTTTGAGGAGTGCTTGATTTCTAACGAATGCCCTCTCAATTAAAGTCTGCTTTACTTTCTGTTTTGCACAAACTAATGCTTTTACACTTAACTCAGAAAACCAGTTTATCCAAATGCGAGGCCAGAGATGACAACAGATGCAGAAGGCGTTAATCGAGCAGAGTAACGCCGTGTACCAAAGGTGGAGTTTGTGGCTTTTTATGTACATATTTAACAGGGGAGTGTTACTCTTTAGCAGAGGAGAAAACAACCCAACACAATTTCCTCCTTTGACGGTTGCAATAAACAATCTATTAATTGGACAAGCTGGCTTAACTGAAGACACCAACCTTTTGTTTGTCATGTTCACCCATTTTAGGTTCAGATTTTCCTTGTTCAGTGTTTTGTTTGCAAGATTTAACTACATCAACTCTTATTATGTACGATTAATTACCAGCTTCATCAAAATTGTATTATTCAGTTGATTTGTTAAATATTACAAATGCAATAATGCAGTAAATAATGTATTTTTAATTATATGTCTTCTTTAAGCATGTATAAAACTGTTTTAAGCTTATTCTGAGTGTCTGTAATATACCAAACTCGTCTTTTAAATGATGTCATCTGACGACCAAGTTTTCCCGTCACATGCTGGCAGGAAAGCACCAAGTTCTTGTTGAACTGGTTCCACTGGCAGAAGGAATATTCTGCATGCTTGTGAAATCCTGTGAGCTTAACGTTCAGGAATCTATATGACAATGTAAATAAATTTTTGTTTTCATATCAATACCTGTCTGCACAACACTGTATGGGAGACGTGGACAGGAAGATAGTGAAGTTTGGCAGCATTATTTTGGTAATAGAGGGCAAACATTCTGCACTAACCCTTCAGCATGCTGTAATTCAGGCGGTATGAGGAAAACTAGACTTGTGCACTTCCTCGTGGCTCCGTGTGCAGGCTTCAGACTGTGTAAATCACTTGACTATTTTTGCTTTCTATCTACTGCACCTTTAAGTTCCAGTGAAGAGCCAAAGATTTAATCTGTTCCAAAACTTTATTCAAACTGAAATCTGCAACTTGGAAGGAAATGTTCAAGAAACAGCAGCCACGGCGACCAAATAACAAACACAAAGTCAGCTGAAGCCGGAGCTATTTGACAGGACCTTTCATACGGTTAAAGCCATCATTTGTCAACTCAATCTGTGAAAGAATGACGATGGCGCTGCTTGTTGTAACTAAATGAGAGAAGTGAAAAAAGAAAGGCCTTTATGTTGTCGCCATGCGCTGGACTCCCAACGTGACTAAAATGCATTGTTTTTGAATTTCTAGCAGCTCTGTTTTGTACTATGGAGGAGGATGAATCGTTATAACATGATCTTGCAAGTGCACCGTGCATCCTGGTTGTATAATGTAGTGGTTGATGTGGTATTGGATGTGTATCAGCATGATTTTTGTGATAAGCTGTCAGCACGAAAACTGACAAGACAATAGGAATGTATCCAGTGTCGATTGTTGTCAAGTTTCAGCTACATTCTCACATTCCAGATTTTTTGGGATCAATTTTACAAGCAGGAATTATTAAGTCTGTGGACGAACTCGGTCGCTTAACGCCTCCGACAAGCCGCCGTGCAGGAAGCTGCTGCACGAAGGCCTTTTCAAATCGTGTCAGTCCCTGATGATGACGGCCAGCACAGCACACTGATTCTCACAAATCTAAGTTGTCCGTTCTCGTGCTCAGTGCTGCAGCTATGAACCGTTTTCTGTCCTTTTCTCGTCGTCCTCTTCCTCGCTGTCCTCGTCCTCGCTGTCCTCCTCGTCCTCACTCTCGCTGTACTCGTAGTTACAACGGTTGGTGTTTACAAAGAGGTCGCTCTCGTCGTCTTCAGAGTCGCTAACCTCCTCTTCCTCGTCTTTCTCTTCCTCCTTTTCTTGCTGTTTGCTGGTCTTGTCCTGTGCCGACTGCTCCTCCATGAAGCCCTCTGGCCTGGACAGAGAAACACAGAATGCACCGAGTTACACTTGCTTGTTATACAGTGTGTGTGTGTGTGTTTTTGTGTGTTTCTACCTACCAGAGCTGCTGCTTTTGCAAGTACTGAATGTGGTCTTTGTAGAGGATAACGGTGATCTCTGCCTTCACCTTCTCCCCTTCTTCGATAGGATCCACAATCACATAGTCGCCTTGGAAATCACAAGAACAAAGTGACCACCTTTTGTTCTTATGACATAAACCAGTCAAACCACTCTGATGCAGCATTTAGTGTCATGTTGCTAAGAACCAAACATGTGAAACTGACTCCCACAATAGCATAATTAAAGTATTGATGTTAGGGATGCAAGGTGGCTGTTGCCTCGCAGCTAGAAGATCCCCAGTTCACGTCCCAGGTGGACGCCTGGTATCTTTCTGGGTTCTCCAGCTTCCTCCCACAATCCAAAAACACATGGTGATTCTAAATTGTCTGTAGGTGTGAATGTGAGTGTGCTTGGTTGTCTGTCTCTAAGTGTAGCCCTGTGATAGACTGGTGACCTGTCCAGGTGTCCCCTGCCTTCACCCTGAGTCAGCTGGGATAGACTCCAGCCCCCCAAGACCCTTGTGAGGATTAAGCGGTGTATAGATAATGGATGGAAGATAATGGAACCTTATTTGACTATAATAAATATTAAGACCCCACAGCATTATTAATTATGGAGATTAACCTAATCAATTTAGAACTAAAGTTACAACACTACAAAAACCCAACAAATCAAGTGATTCCCGCAATTCCCTATGAGCAAGCTTTCTTTCAGTTTCCTTTGTATCTATATTCTTTAATTAGCAGTGACAAATGTGAAGTGCCACAAGCCACAAACACCAACACGTGCCACTAGAACAAGAGTGAAACATTATGATCGATGTCACTGGAACATGATGTGATCTTTAATGTAAACAACCCCCATCCATCAGGTACCTCTCTTGATCCAGATGTTCTTGCGGAACTTGGTGGGCATGCTGACCAGGAAGGTGTCACCCTGCGCTGTGACAGTTTCATGGAGGTTGTTACCACGACTACCGGTAACCTGGAGAAGTCCACAGGCGGACAATCAGATTGCTTAACACAGTATCAAAAATAATTAAAAACTATATTTACATCGCACTTTCATAAACAAAGGTTCATAATGTGATTTGAGCGACAAAACAAAAGCAGGGCAGTCAGAAGTCAGACCAAATAACTAAATAAAAATATAACATCAAATAAAAGATAGTCTATAAAACGGGTTTAAGAAGTGATTTAATAGAAGTCAGTGATTCTGTGATCATCATCTCCTCAGGCTGGTTCATCCTGACATTTCACATATTAAAGGAAAAGTCTTCTTTGTTCAAATTATTGGATAATTCTCCACAATGTTAACAGGAAAGGAAAGTCTGTATGATGATATTCTTATTTTGTACTGCAAGAATATGACATTAGCCCACCTCAAAACCACATCCTTCATCATCAGACCGTTAGTAAGTTCACTATCATCTAAGAAAACAAGTGAAATGATAATTGCCTGTAACTTCTGGCCACGAGGTTTAGCCTACAGTTCATACACAGTTTACCTTCACAATCTGCTGGTTTTCTGTGGGAGTGACAAAGTCTCCGAGAACCTCCTTGACAACGTGTTTGCGTTTGGTGGCCTGTGACATTATTACCGGTGGACTGCAGCTTCCTTCGCCAGCTAAAGGAAAAGAGACAGAGGGAGGCCAACGTGTCGGTAAACATCACGACATTTAAAGGCTTAATGTGGTCAGCGAACGAATCATTTAAGAGCTAAAACACAACTAAATAATCACATGTTGGCTTAACATGACAACGAGCTGCACTCACCCGAGATAGCAGTTAGCAACTTTTAACTAAACTCACGGCTACATTAATAATTTTAATGACACTCAACGCTTTAGATTCCCTCTCTGTTTACGTATCTTTAAACATTAACAAGTAATTACACATTAAAGTTAACATTAACATGACTAACAAGTTAGCCGAATAAGCTAACATTAGCTATGCTAGCTTAACTACATTAGCAGGTTACATTACTACCTTGAAAGAAAGAAGAGAAGTATTTCTGAAGCAGAATATATTTCTGAACAGCAGCAAGAAGTCACTGTGGGTGGAAAAAAAACACGCTGAAATATTCTGTCTCTGAAAGCAGAACCACATGCGTTCGTGTTTTCTGAAAACAGTCAAAGGTTAGCATAGCACTTCCGGGGTCAAAGGGACTCGTTTCAATATAAGATCTTCTGTATGTTTATGTTTCATTTCTTGGCTAAAAACTCGTGTCATGATGGTGCAACATTTCAGATAAAGAAGGCTAAAGTTAAATTTAACTTTGGCATATCTGAATGGTGCCTTTCAATGAGATAAAGCACACGTAATATACGTCTTAGTCCAAAATCTTATTCCATCCATGACTAGTTCTTCCGTGGCTGCACCTTTGCATTGTGGGAAATGTAGTTCTCGGCCAATTTGAGCAACATTCAAGATCACAAGGAGGGCAGAAGAATTACAGCCAAAGAAAAAAAAAGGGATACAAAAAAAAAATCCATGTTGAAACACTTAAGGTGGATTCCAAAAAGTAAAAGGCTTTTATTTTAGGGGTTGACACGTTTAAAAAAACATGTTTGGTTGCATCTTATATTCATAGCTGCAATCATCACCAGTGTGCAACATCTTATTTTGTGTCTCTGCCCTCTAGTGGCATCACTCAACCAGTACAACACATATAACTGAACCAAGGCCCTCTCACAGGCTGTTAAAAATTAAAACACTTTATTAGCTTAGGATGGACAAGACAAAGGAGGATAAAAATCTACAAACAGGAAACAAACATTTGGATTAGTCAATAAGATAAAACTACATAAACAGATTGTTATCAATTATCAATATATAGCTTCTTCAATCAAGAAATTGGGTTGGAAGAGAAAAAAAACTCAAGGAGACAGAAAACAAAACAAACAAAAAAACACACAACATAACAATGATCCTAATCAGTGACCCAGGTAATGACTATAAGAAGCTAATAGTTTAAACTGTGTAATTATAAAATGGTTATCATGTGCAATATTTCAATTTCATGTAGAATATTTCATTTTGAGTGTGAACTTAATTTACTACCTCAGTATCATTGCCAGTATTACTTCTTTTCAGTCATGTATTGTACTTATATCTTGTTGCTCTTCTACTAGACACTGTAATTCCTAAATTTGTTTCTGAGCAATATCAATAAATATATATAATATTCAATTTCTAAACATAACATTTTAGCATATCTTAAAATCATGACTGAGACTGCAGAGCGTAAAAGAAAGTACACAGTCTATGGTTGAGACCAGGTGGCCTGAAGACATAAACCCAATATGCCTCTTTTTCTTTGTTTTCTTAATTTTATCCCCAGAAAAGCTTCAATACCTGACACTGTTAGCATCGAATCTTCCTTGTGGTGTTTGGCTATAGGATAGATCAAATTCCCAGAACAAATAGCATATCTATGTTTGACCACTCCACCCTAAGTGTCCTTTTATTGAGGCACACATAGAAACAGCCACAAATGCATTGAAGTCAGGACACAACATGGTTGTATTCTAGTTTCTGAAACCAGTGACAGAACATGTTTTGATCCTAAACACATCGATTGTGTCAGAGTGTGTCTCCATCATCATAGAAAACAATTGTCCTTTGACAGTCAAACGTCAGACTCACCTTCACTTTCATTTAGGTCATAACGACACTTAGACGTTTGAAATTAATTGTAGTTTATGAATAAAGTCATTTTCTACACAATAAAACTTGCATTGTGTGTCAGGTGTTGACTGAAAAGTTGTTTTTAGGGCTAATACCAACACAGAGGATCAGTAATCTAGGAGGCCAACATTATGAACCAACATGTGTTTGCAGTAAAACTGAAATAGACCAATACAAACTCCAACCCAAAGATTTATTAAACTGCCTTTATTTATTTGTTCTATCCATGTAAATCTTAATTTAAAAAGAAAGGACTTTTATCCTTCGGTGTTAATTGGCTGTTACTGTTAGTGACTACAGACTCTTTATAAATTAGTTTATGTAATCAGAACTTGGTTAAAAGAAAGAAAAAAAAAACAATAATTGGAAAAATGCTAAATATTGGATGCAATAAATGTCCAGGTTGATAGTCAATTAAATCCTAGTTTGTATGTATTTCAACTGACTTGTTGTTCCAGTGCACACAAAAACAAGAACACAATTATAAAAATATACAAACGATGGGATTTCACACTTTTTTATTCAACCTTCACTCATTCCTCACCTTTTTTTTAATTACAGCAGTAAGTACAATTGCATTGCAGTTTTGTTGTAATATGCAGTAAAGTCAAAGCCCTATCTGTGAAAAAATCCTTTCAAGTACAGAACATTACCACGAACACTGTTAACAAAACATCCAAGAAAACTGACAAGACCGAAGTCTTCCTAAAACTATCCAGACTTCAAGCATGAGCCTAGAGATGAGTTAAAACCAACAGTGGCTAAAACACAGCAGGACTAACGGAATGAACGTCGCACATAAAGTCTAGTTTAAAATTACGACAAGGTTTCTCATCAGAGCGAGCTTCACTGAGCTGGTATGGTTTGGTAAAACTAACACGAGGTGTGAAGAAGCTGAAACACTCGGCTGGTTTAACGGAAAGGAGACTTCAGTCGGGCTGCACGTGACTCTGATCGTCATGCGTTCTGGATCGATGTGCATGTGAGCGGTGGAGCTGGTCGTTGTGCTTTATGCTGGATGATGATGTGTGTAAGTCTGCATGGGGTGTTGGTGGTTTAGTTCACTACAGCAGATGAGCACATCTTGTTGATGCCACATGCGCCGGACCCCCTGTACAGGTAGTAGTAACCCTGTGTGAGAGAGAAACAGGCTGTAAAAAAACCACACAAGCTTTCTTTTTTACACGACAACATGATACCAGACAATCGTTGTTTAGTGCAGCATCGTGCAACTTGACAGACACTTTTTAACCTTATTGCTACTGAGTTAAAACAACATGTTTCTCACTCACATCATTGCAACTTTCCACAATAATGTTAAATATTGCAATGTTGCACCAACTTTAAGCAACAATTTAAATGTCACTAGAGGGTTTGTACTTCTATCTAATCTATGTCACCAGGTGTTGTCGCCTTCCTTACCTGCTCTCCATAATCCTCCCCCCAGCTGTTCTTGATGGCCCAGAAGGGGATTCCTTTACCTGTAAGCACAGAAACATCCCTACAGGTCAGTTAACTGCATCCTGCAGCTTGATCCACAAACTTCAGATTCTGTTTGTCCACAAAAAGGTGTTTTTTTTTCACTTCCATTACTCAGGATTGGATAAATAAAGTGAGGACAAATACAGGATACATCACTTACGTTGTCCGTATCCCACCATCAGCACAGCGTGGTCGATCATCCAGGGGTTGCAGAAGATCTTCAGAGGGTGAGACACTCCCTTTCTGTAGAACTACAGGAATTCAAAAGATAATTGAAATGAATTAGATCCGGTTGTATATTGATGATCATTAAATTTTAGTAAAAATCACGTGCATCTTGAAAATCTGTTTACGTCTTGGAGGTGATGGTAGTTATTATACTATTATTATAGTCGTAGTTATTATTAGTTATTACAGTAGTTAGAACAATATCATTAATATTCCAACACGTTTTTTAAAGAGTTACGAGGTCCTTGGCGACAGAGTAAAAAGTAAAACATGCAAAATCAGCTAAATTGCAAGAAATATAAGAGTAAAACGGTTTTGAGGATTAATAGTGGATTAAGTATTCTTTACTTCAGTCAAAGCACCAATACATCAATATAACGCAGGTAAAAGTCCTCATGAAAAATCTGCTTTAAGTAAAAGTACATACGTATCGGCAGCAAAATGTGATGAAAGCATTAAAAGTGCTGGTTTAGCTCCTCTAACTGATATATATCCTTATATCTGTCATCATCAGCATGTAGCTGCTGCACATGGAGCTACTTTAATTTTCTTTATAGACAGTTTTATATTCAGCTGCAGCAGATAAGTCTGAGGGCTCCAGACATGATTAATGAGGGCGGAAAGAAGAAGAAAGTTCAGATCCACAAGTCTGTTTTAAATCTTTTTTTTGATTGTTACAGATTTTTTAGATCATTTACTTGTTAAAAGAAAACCACACGAGAAGGTAGGAGGGAAAAAAGTCACTGTTTGGTTTGGTGGAGCTGCTGACACCTCACAGACACCTGAAATGTGACAAAACTACACACTGCTTTTTGTCAGATAGCAGACGGCAAAAATGTTGGAAACCACTGATTTAATCTTTAACAATTTGCTGCGTTTTAAAACGTACATGTTTTATTATCCACTGTGTAAAAGCTCAGTCTCACAAGTAGCTCAGTAGAAAGTTTTCTATCTGAAATGTCGTGGAGCTAAAGTAGCATAAAATGGAAATACTCAAGTGAATAGAATAGAATAGAATAGAATAGAATAGAATAGAATAGAATAGAATAGAATAGAATAGAAATGCTTAATACTTAATCTCCTATTAATCACCACCACCATAAATACTGATAAATATGCAAAACTGAACAATAAGAAAATATAAAATGCAAAATGTACAATAAGTGTAATAAAGTTCAAGCACAGTACTTGATTCAGTATACTGAGTTACTTTCCACCACTGAGGAGCGTTTATGGCAGCATTGCAGAGACAAACCTGCTTACCTGCATAGCAAAAGCATTCAGAGCAACAGAGATGGGTCCATTCTCAGCCAGCCAAGCTGCAATTTCTGAGGAGGAAAAAAAATCTAAATGAATCCATTGAACAGCCTTTTGTTTCGTATTACCGCACACACACTGCTGCATGTTATAGTTACTATAAGATTAAATGTGACAAACACACGTGGTTATTGTTGTTTGTACATTAACTCTGATTAGTGTCTTGCCACATTCAGATTTCATTCAGACTTTCTGTGGACATGTTTCTCTTTCCTGTCGTCATCCCGTCTCCGTTTGCTCGGCCCACTCACCCTTCTCATCTTTGGACAGCTCCAGAGAGCTGTTGATGTAGGCGGCCACCTTCCCCGTGGTGAAGTCACACCTCTGCTTCTGCCCCGTGTATGAGTAATCGGTTTCGGTCTCCAGACCACCTTAACCACAAACGAGAGACAAAGATCAGAAGAATTCATGCTTGTGCTCAGCATCCGTTTAGCTTTTTGGAAATCCTTTACGAGGTGAATGAAGGTCTGTGTAATCCTCTTTTGTGTTTAGTCAAAAATAGGTGACAAACTAGGAACAGAAACCAGATGTTTAAAAATGGTTGGTTGACTACATCTGTGTCTTACCGAGCTTCTCGATAGCTTCATAAGCATTTGATGGCAGCCCGCCTCTGCACGCCTGGTCCAGCCCATCACAGTCCACCAGCTCTGTGGAGAACAAATCAATACGCCAATCAAACCGTGACTTTCTCTGGCGCTGAAAACAGGAAAGTTATTGAATAACTGTATCATCTGTGTTTGTTCACGTCTGTGCAGATGTGCGTTACCTTGTTCAGAAAGTGACAGCAGCGTTCCATTTTTCAGGAACCACTGGCCTTCGATGTTGCCGATGACAGAAAAAGCCCAGCAGGACCCACACATACCCTGCAAGACGCGCACAACCCAGTCAGCGTGAAGGTGCTATTTATTCTTTATTAACATGCTTCTTAGGGTCACTGCCTCATAATTGACTCTGTTTGTTGGCACCTGGTTTTTGACAGCACTGACAGCTCCGTGATCGCGCCAATCCCAGCTGTCGGGGGCGGGGCCTCGGGCAGGAGCGGCTGGTTTCATTGGTCGATGGAGAGTCCACTGACTCAGCAGCGGGTTCAGGTAGGTGGAGCGGAACTCCTCCTCTGTTGGAAAGCAGAATAAGAGCGGTCAGATCTTCACGTTACTCAAGAAGAAGTTTTTGAAACGAAGCTGAAGCAACACATAAAAAGCAGAAGGTGCGTTTCCTCAACGGAAACCGTGGAAACAAAAGCACATGCAGTCACGCACCAGTCAGGTCGCTGAACTTGGTGACTCCGTATTCAGCTGAACCTTGATCCAAAGACTGGAGCTTCTCAGCAGTTTTCAGGTTCTGGTGGAAGATGCGCAAACGACGGTCGGCCTCTGCAAAGTCGAAGGTTAAAAACGTACATTTAAACAATCATCAAGGTGCTTTACAGAGGAAAGGAATAAAAATCCGGTTCAAATGCAGTTCAGATGCAGTTCTTCAGATTCAGATTCTGTCACACTGTGCCACACAAGCAGGCACAAAACATAAACCTCTCTGTAGTTGCAGTGTACCAGAGTTTGCTTTCTGTCGCTGCTCCGGCACCCTGGTAGCATTTGATGTATTTTAAATGAACCAGCAATGATTGATTTGCCAGAGCTGGAGCGACCTTAGCGACGGAGAATGCTGCTTAAACTAGGAGCTTGATGGAGAATTGATGAGCTTTCCTAAGAAACTAGAAAAGGTCCAAGACAAGCCTCTGATGCTCCAGATAAGAAAAAAGAAACACTGCATTCAGTGTAAATAAGAACAAGAGACAGTTTTTGTGTAATTACTCTCACTGCCAGAAGGGGGAGACAAACGTTCTGCAGGTTTTAGCAACTAGCTAGTTTTTATTTGCTCTTTATTAAAGGCAAAACAATAGAACTACATGTTTGTACAAAACTGAGAAAACTGATCTGTACCTGAATGTCTGACATCTAAAAAAGTCAAAAAAATAAAAGCATTGCAACCTTTATCTCTATGACGTACAAGTGTATAGTTGGCAGTTCATCCGTTATTGGTTTTATTTTAGATGTTTGAAACTGGAGTCTCGTTTATGACACACTTATTCACATCCTTATAAACAAGTAGTAAACAAGACGTGTGCCAGCTGATTTCAAAGGTTCTGAATCCATGGAGCTATTGTGTGTTTTCATACACAATAGGCTGCGAACACACAAAGTAGACAGGAATGTGCCACTCTATTGACCCACCGTCTGGTATGTACACGGTATGAATATGTGTCAGTCACTCACCCTCCTGGCTGCTGTAGTCTTTATTATATTTAACCATGAACTCTTTAAACTGGCCCAGCAGCTCCACAGACTCCTACCAGATAAACACACAGAATCAACAACACAAACCTTGTCGTCAACCTCAGGTTCATAATTGAATAAAGCAGATTGCACAACAAACAAACGGACTGCTGCAGCAGATAACAAGACAGAACATGTGATCAGCATTTAGTTGTCAGTCCTGTTATTGATCTGAATGTGGTTATTTTTACCTCCAGGGGCTGACTGGTGGATGGATCCTCCACCTTGTTGGTCTCTTCTACTTCAGCTTCAGCTGGTGACAGAAACATCCAGAAAAACATGTGGTGAGTGTCAAAGCATCTAAAACCTTGACTTCATGTATTTAAAACTGCACTGACTCCATGGTTTACGAATGTTCAAGTCAAAACAATGAGAATAAGTAAAGGTTGGAGAAAACTTTTTGACAAAGTTGGGCAACAGCAGTGAGCCTAACATAAGCTGTGTTGTTGTTTAGACTTTGTTCTATTTACAGGAAGGAAATGGGCAACGTTCAGACTTGGACTTGTCATGATTTACCCTTTTACCTCATGTAGCTGTCTGATCAGCACAACTTGCTCTTGTAAACATTAGTGTTGCATAATATGAAGGTCAAATTTAGCAAACAGTTCCATGCAGTAAGTCTAAACTCCACATAGATGATATGCTGGTGGCAATGTTAACGTTTCTAAAATAAATAACTAAATATATATGCATACAACGTTTTACATGGATTTAAAATGATACAACCGATTATCCACTGTTTTAAATCATTCTGAACAATGCAACTTGAACCGACGTTCCTTCTACTGTCCAGCAGGGGGCGACTCCTCTAGTTGCAAAAAGAAATCAGATTTAAAAAATCACCCGACTTCTCACTTGATTTATTGGCTCACTAAACATTTTCCTGATGAGTTTATGGGTTCAATGGTTTGTTAAAGGTTCCTTTAATACAGAATTGTGTTCATTTTGTAAATTATGAGCAAAATAAATGATACAGCAGGGTTTGCTTTATCTTGAGAGAGACAAGTCACTATCATCTGGACAAGTGTGAAGTTTGAAATGATTCTCACTCAGATCTTCCCTTCATTCATCTAGTTTCAGATAATTTGCAAACTTGAGGTTACAAAACCGTTAGGTTCTAGTTTTGAATACAGTCTGTATATCCATCCATCCATCCATTATCTATCCATCCATCCATTTTCTATACACCGCTTAATCCTCACTAGGATCATGGCGGGCTGGAGTCTATCCCAGCTGACTCAGGGTGAAGGCAGGAGACACCTGGACAGGTCACCAGTCTATCACAGGGCTACACTTAGAGACATATTTACACCAACAGACAATTTAGAATCACCAATTAAGCCCAGGCCGGGACACAAAAAGGACTTCCTGCCACAGTTTGACAGTAGGAAACTAGGCACAGCTCACTCCATGCTGTGCTGTTACCTTATGATTTGTTCTTCTTCTAGCTGTGAGGCGACGGTGCTAGCCACCGAGCTACCACGCAGCCCACAGTCTATATATATTCTTTATACATTTTTAGGATGTAGATCAGTTAGAGACACAGAAGTTTGTGAACTGTGCCATTTGTCAAGTATATCCTAACTGATTCTTATCATTCACAGGAATTTACATGATTTTCTTTGCTCACCCTCTACTTAGTATTTTGTAATGTTGCTGCAGTGGGATGGATCTGTGCTTTTGACGACTGTAGAAGCACCTCTGTTCTTTTCCTTCAGACTCCTTTAAACTAATGTTACGTTTCCACTCCAAAACTGCCCAAATCCTCTCTTGCACATGCATTGCCTCAGCTCCAAGAGCTCTGGTTTTGGACTGGAGCTAACGGATTAAAACAACTCTGGACCACCATGGTCCTCCACTAATGTTACCTTCAGGTTATTCTAAAGGAGACACATCTTGTGGTAGCGACTCTGTGTAGCTCTCTATATTGTACTTGTTTAGGAATGTCACTGGGCGACTCCTTCTCTCTTCTGAGCACGTTGCCTTCTTCTTAGTCTTTTACAAAACTATGCGGCGGGTTGAGTTAGCTCAGTTCTGGGCTGAATCTTTACACGTTAAAGATTATTTTCTATACATGCTTCGGTTTAACCGGTTTAATTCGGCTGGTGTCACTCTGAAAAACGCTGCTGCAATAACACTGAAACTCAGCAATGATTCCAGTGAACCGAGACCTCTGGAGGTAAGATATTGTTGCAAAAGAAAACTGCCATTCACTGTGAACCAAAGCTGTGTGGTTCAGCTGTGTTTTGATCACAGAACAGTTGTAACCAAAAAGTCATGAATCCTAAATGCTGAGCAATCAACGTGTTTTTCTGCTTACATGCTGCTGACTGACCTTTAGGCTGGCACTTCTGTTTGAGCAGGGTCGAGGTGCCCTGCCAGGGGATGTCCCAAACTTCAAACACACACACTTCAGTCTGAAACATAAAAAAAGTGATTATAAAAATGTCATATACAATATTTATTCATAAAATAAGCAGAATCATGTGTTTGCTGCTCTGCAGACCGAGCTAGCTCCATCAAACAGAGCAACTCTTATAAACAACTGCATTTGGAGCACGTTTGCTTCCTTCACTTAAGATTGTTTTTCAGTTCAAAAGAAAACTGGAGCAAAGGAACAGTAAAAGTAAGTTTATGTGTCTGCGCTTGTATGCACGTGGATGCATGAGACATGCTTGGGGTTACTCCAAGTCAAACTCAAGTCACAAGACCAGATGCCTGCTGACACCTCGGCTGAGCAAACACAAATACTTTGCCGCAGTATTGAATCAATACAGTTCGAACAAGCAGATTTCCACTTTGTGAAATTCTAAAACCATTCCAACATGCTATTTTCTCTCTGTGGCTTAATCTCTTTACACAAAGATCCTACCTTGAGTTTCTGTGACTCAGGATAGAAGTCACATGTCCTGAGCATGGCGGACTTCTTACACTGGGTATTACTCAGCTCCACTGTGACCGTGTAGCGGATTCCCTTCACCAGCTGGAAAACAGATAAACACACACATAGAATGGAAGTCTCTCATTTATATATGTATGTATAAAAATTCACCCTGCTTACTCAGACATGACTTTATAAAAAAAAGGGAAACTGAGATGGGATGCCCCCCTTAAGATCAAATTCCATCAGGGCCTAATTAAATCATAAAGGACTAAAGCTTTGTTCATATAAAACTAAATGTAATATCTTTAAAAGGGGCGTCTTCCCTGCAGTGTGAGGGAAGATGCCTACTTTACGTCTTGTTATTTGATACTTATGCATCAGATTAATTTTATTTTCAAATGCCAATGGTCTGGCAATTTCCCTGAGATCTTGTACCGAAGGGATCAATAAAGTTTTATTCTATTCTATTCTATTGCAATGTGGCTCTGACGTCAACTGCAACATAAATGCTACATAACAAATTGAGAAATTCTTATTCTTATTATTTACAAACGGTTTTGTTAGTGCTAATTAATTTAGAAACAATGGGCCCAGGATGAATCCCCATTAGATTTACTTTTACTGTAACTCATTATCACTGATGTCACGTGACCTGCTGCTACAGCAGGATAATACTGCATGACGTTATTTGGCTTTCAGACTGATATTAACACGTTTTACTGCTGTTTATCTGTGACGTTGTTGTATTAGATGATGGTGAGCATCATTTACCAGACATTTCGGTTTACCCTACTCATATCTGAATGCTATTTACTCCGACTCAGCCTGCTGTAGCTGTATATAATGGCTGTGGTGGATTGTGGATGGAGAGTCTGGCGTTAACGGGCCACTCTGCACAGATGGATGCGCTGATAATGAACTGTTAAGCTGATTTACACTCAATGACGTGACTTCCGGTCAGGATGAAAAAATAAAATGTGTCGACGGGCGTTTGCTGCAGGTAGCGTTATTTTTTCAGAGCAACAGCTAAAATGAAAACTAATCACTAACTTAGTATGTATTAAGCATCACACTGACCTTATTTTTTTTATTTCTATAAACGTAAAAACGTGCTCCGCAGCAAGCGCATGCTGTTATTTTGTTGTTCGTCTGCAAGTTTCCTGTCTGTGTTTAGCTAACTCTGTAGCTTGACGCAGCTTTAAATGGCTCCCGGTCGCTGTTGTTTACAAAGAACCGAGCACAAACAACTCCTCTGTCACTGTAATAAATCATTAAATAACTAATATCCTGCCATCATACTGCTATTCTGTGTCAATGTGAGACGACAACACGATGAATAAGCAAACACGACGGTGAACGCTTCTGTCACCGAGCTCTGTACTGTTTGTACCTGTTTGGTGGCGGAGATGAACCGGCTGACTCTGCGGAGGTGCATTGCGTTGGAGCCCCGGTTGTAGCGCTCCTCTGCGAAGAGCAGCGCCTTCTTCAAGCCCGGGTCCGACTCCTGCAGCCGGACAGGAGAGCCGGGAGGCCCGAACAAAGGCCGGTCGAGGTCCTCGCCGAGCCCGAGCACCGAGCCCGGCACGGCGGCCAGAGCCAGCCACAGGACCACGGAGCAGCAGCGGAATCCCACCATGTTGGCTCCGATGTGTTGTCGGAGAGAAAAGGGACCGCTGTCCGGTCTGCGACCCGCTAAAACGGAGTAATGTTTGTTTAGGTGGAAGAAAAATCGATAATAGGTTAACAGCAGCAGTTATACAAGAGTCCCAGCCTTGTTGCCAAACAAATCTGTGAGGCTGAGGGAGGAGACAGTTGGAATTAAGGCTGGGGGCGTGTTCAGAAACACAACACATGCTGCATTATTCATTCATTACTCAACAACAAAGTCACGTTATAGATCTGTCACAACAGGACAACAGGACAAACCTCTGTAGGAGGCAACACAATCACCAGGTACTCACATCTGTGTGTACAACTTTACATTTTCCATTTATATTCATTATACATATATGCAAATTCAGAAGATAATTAAATTATACCAGAATACAGCTTTTGTTATTATAAAATTAAATGTGAAATCTACGAGGAAAAGAAGCTCTCATAAATAAAGTATAAAGTTATTGGCTGAATCTAAAGTCTGTTACACAGTAATTAGCTGGTGCTACAGCAAGCTAGTATAACATAATGTCACTAGCTTAACCAAAAATTAGCTAATTAGCTAATGCTACAGCATGCTAGTTTAGTGTAATATTAATAGCTTCATCTAAAGTTACGAACTATTACTATTACTACTATTAGAATAGAGTAGAATAGAATAGAATAGAATAGAATAGAAATAATTTATTAATCCCGAGGGGAAATCTGGTAAAAGGAGAAATTTGGTCTACTAATTATAATTACTAATTATAATAATAATAAGAATAGAAATAAGAGTAGTTTTTGAGATAAAGCGACTGAGAGAAGAAGAAACAGGAGTGAGTGGTAGATGAATGGTTCACTGGTGAAAACCCTCCAAAACAAAACCAAACAACAGTGAGTGAAATTGATGTTAAAATGAAGAATTTAGGCTACAGATGAATAGAATCCAGATTGTGTCAGAGTCAATTTGTTTTTTAACTGAGGCAGATCATTTTTCCATTCATACAGAATTCTAGTTCACAAGAATAGTTTTCTTGGCGATGATTAAAGCTGTGGAGAATGTTCCTCTGGATGTGTTGTTGATGTTGAAAGAGTCTCCAAGCAATCATCCTTAAAGGAGCACAGACTTCAATAACCTGCTCTGCAACTGTAAAGTGGAAAGGATTATGTTGTGGTGCCTCCTCCTGTACTTGTCATGTATGTGTCATTGTTTCTCCTGATGCTGTACTTGACAGGTAACAGGTTACCAGATGTTACTCCAGTGGTCCTTCAGGGGTGACGGTGCTTTTGCCATCAGGACTCCCAGAATCACATAGATCTGACTTGATGTGATGCCATCAATATTTTATCGCTTCATTTGTTTATACTGGTACATGACATTTCATGCCTAATTTGGGGTTACTGTATGCGTTTTGTCGTTATTTTACCTTGTGGGTATCTTCCTTCTGCTTTGCCTGTCAAAGCCTTTTGCAAACTCATGTTTTTAAGGGTGCTGTATAAATAAAGTTATTATAATTTATTCAAGAAAGTTCTCGTGAATACTACGAATATCTCCCCGTCTATGTGCTTATTATCCATTCTATATGTGTATTGTTGTTATTATTATACTGTATTTAGACTGTTTAATACACTTTTTAAATTGTGCCAGCCCCATCTGCTTTTTCATGCACCTTAACTTGGTCTAGCAATAGTAATCATTTCATTTCCTGTTTAGCAACTGCCAAAAAATGTATTTATATTCTCACTGAGCATTTTTTAAAATTAACTCATTACTTTAAAAACATATCACATAATTGGAATTAAGGCCACCGGCTGGAATTGACGTGCAAATTCAAATATATCAAATGAGACACTAGAGGGAGACAAAACACTGTGACCGTGGCTCTTTTTTAGGGGACTTAGATTTTCAAAGTAACAGACCTGATGTTTATACACAAAATATGCAAATGTTTCATTCCGCTACAAATCACATGAAACCCCCAAAAATAATAACACGAGTTAGGACTAGAGTTTAGACATAGAATTTGGGCATTTTTTTGTCATAGTTAGTCACAATTATAAGTCACTCAACTATGTTGAAAACATTACTTTTATTGTGGAGGATTCCTGCCGGAAGTGTTATTGTCGGTGCTTGTGGTGAGCTCAGCCGTTAGCACCGTTAGCAGTGTTAGCACTGCGGGCAGAAACATCTGTTGATAGCTGCTAAGCTAACATTCACACTCGCTGGTACAAGCTGTCTCAACGCGTTGTACTACAGTCTCGCTAGCTCGAAGGAGGAACCGTAAAGCTAGCCGCCAGTTTACCCGCCGTATGACATAAGTGCCGTCTTGAACGTTATGACTAATTTATATTTAGGGCTCAGGTTGTATTCTTAGCATTAGCCTCGGCCAAACCGAGGTCCGACTGGCAGACATGGAGACGAGGGGGATTGAAGACATGTTTGACTTTCGTCGGTAAGTCAGCTAACGGCTAGCTAACGTAAGCTACCCAGTTAACCTTAAGCTAACGCTAATTAGCCTCTATTGGAGTAAAGGTCTTATGTTAAACAAATACAGTGACGTTGTAGTGGCAACTGTGTTTTGCTAGCTGAGCTATGTTTTCCATGACTTTTAAACGAAGAGATAGCAAATATTGTGTGTAGCTAGCGGTGTGATGGCGACGTTGACGTAAACATTTCACTGTTTGTATTTATTGTGCAGTCTTGTGCAGTGCTAATGTCGATGTACGCGTCGTATTTCAATAAACTAACATTAATTGCTTCAGCGAGCTAACCTCAGATGGCTTTTGGTTTTGACCTCGAACAATTGCAGTTGTCTCCCCTCACGACTGCGAATTAAGTTTTCTTAGATGCATAACCTTTTTTGGACCTTTGTGAAGGTGGAGTGAAAAACTTTGCGGTTTATGTCGGATTTGAGTCAGTAGCCTTTATCATGTGTTCAAAGGATAACCCACATTTTACATGTTGTATCGGTGGGACATGAGGCCCGTAGCAGCAGCATTGCTGTTTATGGTGTCAGGTTTAAGATAAAATAGGACTAATAACGAGCGTCCAAGATGTTCTGCAGCAACTGCCAAGTCAAACAAGTAGTGACACGTGTAATAACGTGTCGAAAATGAAAGCTGTGGTGAAACGGGAGACTGAAACTAACAAGAAGGCTGATCCTGTAATGAAGTCGAGACTATAGATTGTTTTACATGATCTATATCATGGATACATGTGAAACGTCAAACTTTTGTTCAGTACTTTGCAAATAGTTCCTGGAGCAATGTAAGTTCAGATTTTCAAACAGTGCTGTGATAGTCTATGTAGAGTTTTTGTTAAATACTAATACAGTCAGTCCTTTGTTCTTCAGGAAGCCGCACTTTGTGTCAGCAGTTAATGGTTTAACAGTTATTACTGGGTAATCTGACATTGATCGGCAACTACAGATTGATAGCAGTTAACTTTGGTGTGGTTTTGTTTGTCCATACAGTATAAGTTTATCAGGTAATAAAATCTGATTAATGATTGTTTGCTTATTGGAATTTCTTTTTACATCAACACACAAGACACAGCAATATAGTTTCCATAGTTTTGCTTTTATACTGGATAGTGATGCATATTAGGGGATAAATGCTCTCATGCTGTCTGGTGGAGACAATGTACTGGTGACGCTATTTGTAATTTATCTAACCCTTGTTTTGCATAGACTGTAATTTCATTTTATTTATAAGCTGCTGATACATCAGTTGTATGCTCATTATCATGGCCAATTTATCAGTTTAGCTCTTCTATAAATGCACAGTTTGAAATGTTGTTTACAATCTGATTTGTTCTTTGTGCAGGTTTCCCAAAGACGCAGCGGTTCTCCTGCTGCTGCTGATTTACTTTCCGGTCGGCATTTGTTTGATGTTAATACGGATTTTTATTGGTGTTCACGTGTTTCTGGTCAGCTGTGCACTTCCAGAAAGTTTTGTTAGAAGGTAGGTGCTATGAAGTGTCAGTATTCTGTTCATACACTTGAGTAGCTGCAGGAGTTGTCACATGTGTGTGCGTCATTAATGATAACCAAAGAGTGATAACTGAGGTGTACGTAGGAGTTAAAATGTAAGGAAGACAATGGCACTTATTGCTAACACACACTATTTAATACATAGGGTGTATTCCATTAAAAATAATTGCAGCATGTCAGCCTGTCACAGTTTAAATTGCAGCATTAAATTCAGCCACCCCATTAGGTACCATTAAGGTGAACGGCTGGTCAGTGTGATATAATGAAATATTGCTCATCGTAAGTTCCATTTTAAATTGATGACTGTATAATTGCAGAACCTTAACATATATTTGGGTAATGTATGTAAATTAACCCCTACAGAGTTTGTACCTCCAAGCCTTTAGTAAGAAGGACGTATGGCGCATTAGAATAAATCATACATGCTCACAATGTTGTGCTTTTTGGTGACTTTGGGGACTTCCTTGCAGTTAATTATTATATCCTGTTTACGCGTGCTTTCCTTTGTTTGCTTTTAGATTTATTGTGAGGATTATGTGCTCAGTGCTGGGAATGCACGTGAGACAGAAAAATCCTCGCTCCAGAGACAGAAACACCAACCTGTACATATGCAATCATGTGACAGAATTTGACCACAACATAGTCAACCTCCTGGCCCCCTGCAATACTGTAAGTGTTTGACTTTCACATTTTTTCCCCTCTAAACCAGCATGTTTAGGCGTTGCTTCACAGTAAATTACACTATGCTCTTTGCACCCTAAGAACACGCGTGTCTGCAGTGACATAACTACATAACTGTGGATATGGAACCTGCCTCTCACCAGTTTATAAATGTAATCAGAAAACTGCACAGTGTTTACATTAAAGCTGTGTAAATCACAGTATTGATTTTAGGTGAACCCTAAGCTCACTTTTTTTAGTTTTCCTCGTGCTTATTTTTGTGGTAATAAGTGGAACGCTCTTTTTTTAGATCACCTTCATGTCGGTATTTCTTCTGAACCTACTGTGAATGCTGCCCTAGTGAAACTGCAAAGATGAAAGTACATTGTGTTCTGTGCAAAAACTTCAGTGGCGGGCAGCAGAAGACCGTTTGCTCAGGAGACATTGTGTGCACCGGTGCATGAAAGCATGTTAAAGTCTTACCTGCTCATTGTCCAGACAATCCCACTATCCCTCAGTGACAGAATGTG